TCTTTTCCCGTCGGGGGACGCATCTTCGTGAAATTTTACCATTTCAAGAACACCGCGACCTCGCGCGCGCAGGTCGTAAAGTTTTCAAGAGGATAATGTGTGTGTTTTTTCTGTGTGTGTGCGGGAGAAGCTCACGGTAAAAACCTCTTGAAAGATTTAGCGAAATTAAATCCACAACTCTCTCTCTCTCTCTTTCCCCGAGGAAAGAGAAGTATGCGGATATTTGCATTCCGATGCGTAATAGAGAGAGGTCGGACGAAATGAGAACTACATATGTAACTGAGCACACGCTCAAGGATACGCGAATTCGCTAACTAATGAACGCGAGAGACTTTACGTTTCTTAATCAAACAAAATAGAACAAAATTTATTAATCAATTAATTATTGTGCATTTATGATCATTTGCTATCGTATAATGTTGAAAAGAACCAGTTTTTTTATTGTCTTTTCGTTTAGTTTTACGCGCAGAACCGCGGGAACGAAGAAAGATTCGCAAAGCGAAAATCATGGATTCTCACAAAAATGAAACAATATATCGTATTATATCGTATGAAAAATATCGCGTGTACACAAGATATTTTTTCGCGAATACAACTGGAGAATAACAACAGATTTCTAGTGACATTTGCGAAATATCGGATGTGACATTTTTTCTTTGAAAGAATCACTCTGAACTTTATTTCATTCTCCGTTCTCTTCTCGCTCGAACGAGCACAGTCTATTCAATAACCGTAGTAATTCGACTACGATTCTCTCGTGATCGTTATTGTAAAGGGTGTGAGCGCGCGCGAGCACAGTATTTTATTGCCGTTAAAGCGCGCGGTATTTCATTACGTGTTCGAAACAAACGCGCGCGCGATAACACTGCGAAATCGAACCAAATTACTCTTTCTGCAGAATGCACAGTTTATAATTTTGCACGTGTCGTTGTAATTTAATTTCTAAATGTAACGAAACTCGTTTACACCGTCAATTAGCATCACTTCCGTTCTCGTGTAATGTTCATTTCATCATTTTATCACTTCAAAGTGAGTGATACACGAAACCCGACAAACAGTGTGGAACAAATGTTTATGAATGTGAATTTAACAAAACTGAACTATTTTAATTACGCGGAAATAACGTAATAACGTTAAACGAGAAACTTATATTTCAAAATAAGAGAAAAGCTGATGGACAGAGAGATCCGAGGTTTTTTTACAAAAAAAATAAACAGAATGAAAAACCGTAACTTTAATTAATAAAAACATTGACGCGATTCCGAACCAATCAGAGATCTCATTTGTTTTGATTCGTCAACTAACGCCCCGTTTGAAAATAGAAACTCTAAAGACACGGTAATTTAAATAACATCCAAACAAAAAAGCACGTTGCTTTACAATTTTATTTCGCAAAACTAACAAAGTCAAATTATACATTTAAATTATCGGATAAGGGCGAACTTGATACGAGCACCGTTATCCACCTTCATTATCTTGACTGTTACAAATGATCGACAAAAACGTAACGAAAGCAATAACGTCTTCGTGAAACGCGATACGAGCAAAATTTATTCCTGAAATTATCTGAAGAAATACCATCGCTAAATTATTCTGAGTATCAATCCGTTAGTAAATTCTTCTTCCTTTATTTTTTTTATTTTTAATATATATATTTAAATAAAATTACACGTGCAAATGAAACGTAAATGTATACTAATTTGAACAACATCCAAAAACATTTCACATTAAAAACGTAACTAAAGTCAAGTGACAGGAAAGAGTAGAAAAACAACACGTGAAAATAACGTGACTGTAATTTATATTATATATAACATTAAATAATACATATTATACATATAATTTATTATATATTTATAATATTATACTTTATATTGTATNATAACATTAAATAATACATATTATACATATAATTTATTATATATTTATAATATTATACTTTATATTGTATTATATGTATTATATACATACTACAGTAATGTCACTGACCTCCGCCGCGCGACTTTGGCGGGGTCACTGACTTCGGGCACGCGACCGCGGCGGGGTCAATGACCTCGGTCGCGCGACCGCGGCGGGGTCAATGACCTCAGTCGCGCGACTGCGGTGGAGTCACTGACCTCGGCCGCGCGACCGCGGCGGTGTTACTGACTTCGGTCACGGTATATATATATATATACGCATATATATATATATACATATATGCGTATGTGTGTATATTATATATAGATATAGAATATTACATATATATGTGTATATGTGTGTGTATGTATGTGTATATTATATAGATATAGAATATTATCTATAATATATGTATATTATATATAATATATGTATATGTATAATATTTTCTTTTTTACTCTTTTCTTTGTCACGTGACTTTAGTTACGTGTTGTTTTTCCATTCTTCTCTCTTTCTTTTATTTTTTGAGTTTGATTTTCATGCGTTATTTTTGACATCTCTCGTAGGTGTATTACATAGTTTATAAGATGTATATATTAGCTGTCATCGTGCGGTGACAGATTGTGTTCACTGATGCAACACATGAAAATGAAAATAATAATAGCGTGCGCGTAGCGCGCGCTTGTGTTGTGCTAGTTATAGAAAAAGAGAGAAAACAACAATCACGAATAAAATTACGAGAGGCTCGTTGTTAGTTTTTTCGTTGCGCGCAAAAGCTCCGTCGCCAATTTCAGAAAAGAAACGTCATATTTTCGGACAACGTGACACGTTACGGCTTAGCAAGTCTCTGCAAGGGATATTTTATTTGTTAGAAAAAAAAAAAGATATTAGAGTCGTGCCGTGAAACGTGACGCGATTTATATAGACGTCGGCCAATCTAACGATCTATTATTTAATACGCGAACGTACATCAAATTAACAATTTCAATTTTATCAAAAAATTTCGCGCGCGACAATTTTTCGAGCGCGTTTTAAATCGTTGATAGCTAACGCTGGCGAATCAGCTATCAAGAAAGGAATATAACAACGTGAAATTTCAACGCACGTCGTTGCGACGACCCTACCGCACCAGGCTATTAGTGAAATTTATCGTTATATCCGCAATAACCGCGGATATGAAAGAAAAAACGAACAAAACGCGCTTTGTCGTCTATCTAAAGAAAGCGCAAAATAGCTACGCGCTCTGGCGTTGAGAAATTTATTAACTTGAAATTGAAACCTGGCCTATATACTCTGGTTTTTCATGAAATTTCAGCCTTTGTGTAATTAGTATTGTCCTCGATAATTAGTATCGTCTTTAGATAATTAGTTTTCGTTATTACGACATCTGAAACATCGTTTATTCCGTGGAGAAAGAGAGAAAGAGACAGAGAATGGCTCCAGACAGTACACACAGTATTGTTTTAATCTTTGTGAAATTTAGAATCAATTTCCAGTAACAAAAATGTCAAAGCCTGAATAGTTTTCATAAGCTTCGAGCCGCTGAAAATGACAGGTTTTTTTTTCGCGGACGCAAGTTAAACGAAACGTGTTTCTGTTTGTTGTTTAATTTCGAGCGAGCGCATAAAGAGAATTTTAATTTGAAACTTTGTTGTGTATTAAAATATTATGTACGTGTCAAAAAAACCACACACAAATCTTATGAAAAATGGCTCTCGGTCAAATTTGCTGAAAATAAAATATAACGTTCTCCACGACGTTTTTTGATCAAAAGTTCTCATGGGCACAAATGGTTACTGTTCAAGTTATTATTGAAAAAAAAAAGTAAGAAAATATGGGGACAATCGCAGGACGGGTATCAAACGGTTTGACTCATAGCGTGAACATATGTCGCACGCACGCGAATAATACACGCTTAGGTGTAGGATAACGCCTCCAAAAAGTACTGCCGAACTACTTAAATGTCAATTACATTCTAAGTCGTAAAACGACTGTCAAATAGAAATCCGCGAGCTTATACCCTCTCTCTCTTTCTCTCTACGTGCGTGTGCGTATGTGTGTGTGTCCTTTACAATATTTTGAACATCGGAGCTCAAACTTGATCCAGGAGGATTATTTATGGAACATTAAATTCGCATATACGTATATACGCGCCGAAAGCGCTTTTTTACGAGCAAATGAATCTCGAACGACTTCGTCGCACTTATATTCAACGTCACGGCCATGTAGTAAAAACAAATAATGGAATTCTGATACCGATATTTAATTGACTGGATCTGCATTAATATAGAAATAATGCAACATAGCGTCTAATGCTACTGGCTCGAAGGGCCCATCGAGATCGATCTGCATATATCGTACACTCCTCCGAGACCAAAACGTGAACACTTCGATCTAGCTCTCGCATATCTTCGTGTATTTTACGTTGATGCACGCGTGATATTTCGCGTGTGTAAAATTCTTCCGAAACTATATAATAATATTTCTGATAAATCGGAAATTCGATCGCAAATGAAAACAGCAATCAAATGAGAAAAACTATACTCAAATTTTCACGTGGCTTTAAATTTGAACTACTAATGCGTGTTAATTTTTTTAAAGAATAAAAAAAACTTGTTAGCAAATATCATGAATTTTTCGCGCACGCGCGCGTTTCAACGTAAACGTGGAACACGAGAATTCGTTGAAAAACGTAATGGCAGATTTATGAGAGACCCGCACACACACCGAAATAACGAATGCACGCGCAAAAATGAATTCGCGCAATCGGAATTCCGCGAAATAATGCATAGCACGGAATGCAGAAAAATCCCGAGAAACACTAATGACATGAATAATTATCCTAATAGCTCCTGAATGCTACGAATTCTCTCAGGCGCGGTTTTAATAAGATAGACGGGATTGCGCAATTAATCTGTCTCGCTCGGTTTATTCGATTTTAATCAAATTTATTTTGAAAATGCGAGGTGCGATATTTTCGCGGAAAATTCATGGCCCGCGATATACCAACAACATGAAAATCCGGGATTGCGCATAAACACGTAAGTTTGAATTCTCGAAAAATCTGAACTAAATTTGAGTATCGGCTTCTTTGTTTACAGAATCAACAATTCGGACGTCAATAATTAATACTAAAACATGGATAGGAAAGAGACGCAACAGTTGCTGACTGCGCGAAGTGCATTGTCGGTTGATGTAAAAATGGTAACATTTGTCAATATCCTATGTACGCTTTGTATGTTCACAGCTTTCTGTCAATCTCAATTATCATAAAACAGTTTTTCTCACTTTCTAATTATATTAAAATTTTGCAGTTTTTTTTGTTATTATTATTTAACAATTTCTAAAATGTCTGTCAGTTTTTCAAGTCAACGCCATGAATTTTTTTAAATATGACTAAAGTTTAAAGCCAAGTTTACTTCGCAACGCACTTGTGTGTGTTATCTCAATCCTCGTTTTCGTCAGAGATAGATCTTGATTCAATCAACGGGGCATAAGGAGAATCGCGGAACCGATATAAAAACTTAACGATTATAACGACGAAAGAGAGAGAAGAGCTGTTGTAATGAATATAAAAGAGGCGATTGATAAATATAGTAAAAAAAAAAAAAAATAAACAACAATTTATCGGATTGAAACGTGGGTATTTAGTTTTCAATATAGTCACTTCGTTTTTTACCTCGAATACACTCTGACCAGCAGTGCTTTTCGAGAGCACTTGTACCACTTTGGCGAAACGATTTCTCGAACTTTTCAAAATGTCTTTCGACAGCTTACATTGTCAAAACTCACTTCGAGCTGTCGCACGAACACCACGTGCGAAAACGAGCCATTTGTTTCATCTGAAGAATGACAGTCATTCCATTGACATTTGTTCCTCTAAAGAATGAAATTTGTCAACGACAACAGCAATGTGTATATTATTCTTATCAATCACCTCTCGTAATTCGCGTCATATAAAATCACGCTTGCTTATCATCTATCCGTCAAGTTCATTAACTGCGCGCATTCTTCGCGAGCTTTTAATCGTGAAAAATAAATTGCTTCAGCTTGCAATTAAACGACGTTGAGCGGCTGACGGCTGATTTGCCGTCGTGATGCTTAACAAGCTTCGCGATTAAAGACTTATTTCATAAAAAACAGAGCCGGCTGTCTTGGACAACGGACGCGTGTTTAACGACGTTTTAATCCGAGACGGGAGCGGTCGAAAAAAGAAAAGGGAGAGATTTTGCCGGCAGCCACCTGTGTGACTACTACTCCAGGGCTTGGAAGAGCTCATAGATTTCCGATAGCAGAAGGAGAAAAAGAGAGAGCGAAAGAAAACAGAGTAGCCGACTGTTGCGGGATAAATTGTGCAGAAGCGTGGTACGTGCGCTTTTTTCATCTTTTGCTTTTCTCTTTGTAATTCTTCCGAGAGAGCGCAAGATGCAGAGTGAATTACAGACCTCGCGTCATCGACGACGTACTTTTTCATCGCGCGCAAGCTGTACAAATAAATATAAAAACCGGCCGTTGTGAAATTTCAGCGCATCGCGCGCTTCATTCCCGCATGTGTGTGACAAGATTGTCGCGCAGTTTTGACTTCGCGAAATTAACGCAATTTATTTCGAAACGTCATTTATGCCTTATCCGAGCATAAATCCCCGTCGAAAGAAAATTTGTATTCGTGCAAGTCGAACGATCGCTAGGATTTGTATTAGCCAATAGAGATCCTAACCGCTGTGTTCGTTTTTCACTATGAAACAATATTTTTCAAATAAAAATTAATTAATATATATATATTCTCGTCAAATATTAATTACAAACCATATAATGCACATATGAGAGATGTCAGAAATTACGCATGAAAATCAAACTCGAAAAATAGTGAAAGGGATGAGTGGAAAAACAACACGTGACTTTAGTTTAGTTACGTGTCTTTAAAAACGTGACTAAAGTAAAGTCACGTGAAAGGGAGGACAGGAAAAACAACACGTGACTAAAATCTCCTCACTTCTCAAATGGCATGAATTTCGCGTATAAGAGGCACTACCGTTGTTTCTTGATTTTGATGAAAATTGAAGGAACGATTTATGAGAATAAATCGTTAACTAATAATAAACATCCTCGTTGGTCAATTTGTTAAACTGCAAAATATAATATTTAAATTTTCTCTCAAGTGTTGTACTTCAATTAATTTTTCATTAATTCGGTTCGAACGTCATTAACGCAAATCCGTACGCGAATTTTTTATCGAAAATAGATTTCCGTATAAAAAACTTATATCTCAATGTGTATAATTTTATCAGTAAATTCGGTACGCAGTTTGCTACATTGAAATACGAACAAATCAGAAAATATCAAAATGGAAAAAAATGCAACAACGCGCAAGGTTGGGAGTAAAATGTCGATGAATAGATCGATGGAGTGTCAAAGAAAAGTCAATTTTGTGAGATTAAAAAACTTAATGCCGCCACGCATAACGAGCGTCTCATTATTATAATATGTTTCATAAACCGTTGAGTTTTTATATCTTCAACGTTATTTTTTCGCGAAAAACCTTAACACTTGAAAAGAAAAAAAAACGTGTCACGGCCATCACCACGGTTTGCACATTTTTGCATGATGAATTGAATATTTCGATACATTTCCTACGGAGATCGACTCCGCAAGGAACGTAACTTTTTATTCATGCAGATTTTCAACTTCCTCTCTAAAACGACTCAATCTGTCACTATTGAAATTTCGACATTAAGAAAAAGTGTCCCATTTTATCGAGATAATACACATTCAATTATATCAATTATCAATAAAATATACATTTTATTGATAAATAATAGATTTTTTTAACAATAGAAAATAGCACTAGTTACTGAAATGTACGATTGTGTGTGATAACTTCGGAGAAAAAGAGAATCATTAATTGTAAGATTTCCTGTTTAGATATTTATGATCGACGCGTATATCGAATATTTCAATACACATAAAACCACGCGAGAGCGAATGTGGCCTTGATAAAAATTAGCACTCGAAACGGAATATTCCAATTAGCTTCGGGCGTCCATACTAACGGTGTTTGCCTCAATTTCCGGTCCGCCTGGCAGTCCCAAATGGCATTACTTCGAGTTTCCCCCCATTCGCGTAATTCAATCTCTCGTTCGATCGAAGTTCATGTTTGGCACGTGTAAATAAATAATAATAGCAGGTTTTCGCGTATCTCCTCTTCGACAGGACTTTTTAACTTCGCGTCGCGGGCCGTACGATTTCCCGTGAGGTAGAGACGGATCTCGTGAGAGCGCGAGAGTGGAATAGGAGCGAATAAGCGAAGGAGCCGAGGAAGCGAGCGGCGACATCGTCGAGCAGAAAAAAGAAAACGCGATCGACGCTTCGATCGATACATCCCGAGGAGGAGCTCATCATCGTTCTCGGAGTTCTCGTCTTGGATACGGCCGCCACGCCGGCGGGTAAAATCGTATTAGTATCCTTCGTAGACGAAGGAAGAACAGCAGGACAAATTGAGACAATCATATTGGATTTCCAGAAAGCGAACGAGATCCAAGAACGACCTACTCCCCGAAGAGTAATTGCCTTTCTAGGGGGGTGGCATTCCCGCGGTCGTACTCGAAGTCACCACGGCGCAACCGAACGAGAAACATGGCCGATCTCGAGAGGATCAGGCTGGTGGTGCTCGGTGGCGCCGGGGTTGGCAAGAGCGCGATCATACGCCGTTTGCTTGGCCAGGGCTTCAGCGAGCGATACCGGCCCACCGTGGAGGATCTGTACTCGCGGGAGTGTGTTCTCGGCACGTTGACGTTCAAGGTCGATCTTTTGGATACTGCGGGTGAGACGAACTACCGTTTGCTCATATTCCCTTTTTTTTTCTTTCTTTAGATAAGATAAATGTCCCACTATGACTGGACGAGTACCACTGTGGTCAAACATTTATTAAAAAAATAATTGTAACTAAGTATTTACACATGTGTAAGTTAGAAAATAGTTGAGTAAGTTGGAATCTACTCTAATTTGGAAACTACTAATTAAAGACATATTTTTAAAAATATTTAAAACAAAGAATACAACAGAGAATTGTAGAGATTAATATTTACATATCCAATAATTTATTTCTTATTGATACACGTCCAGTCATTAAAACAGTTACATGTGCATGTATGTGGTTTACAACAGACTCGATAAAAAAAAAAAAAATAGAACATCTCAGAAAATTATTGTAAGATACATATCTGTGCTGTTGAGGAAAAATTTATGCGTTGAAGAAATATATATACGCGTTCTGACGTTAGTAAGTTACATTTTTACAACTTTCGCACAATATATCTGCTGTCGAGAGCGAATATATCTCGCGGTAATGATATCGTTATCAAAGTTTTGCGAGTGAATGAGAAGTTTGTTTAGTTTGTCTACAAGTTTTTTTCTTTTTTTCTCTAGATTTGCGCATAAAATGTTACTTGTCGGTATAATTCTGCGGAAGAAAACCAATTGCATCGTTAAATCTTTTCTAACGTTTTTTTACATCTTCAAATGAGTGATTCGCGATAAGAATTTCAGAGTAATTACGAAACTTGAGCAATAATTCGACTTGTTTGCTCAAAAGTTCTCTGAGACACACTGAGAAAAGTCTTTTATTTTTCTATTTATTTCGAAAATGTTCCTATAATCGAATCTACAGCGCGATAGAAATAATCACGTGATTACGCGCGTATGTGTTTTTCTAGGTCAAATAGATCATTCAATTTGTTTTGATTGAAAACGAAGAAAGATCTCCGATCTCATCGCGTGTAAAATGAGTAACTCGATGCATGATACAGGAAAGTATCTTTGATCCAATCACGAAGTTGCGCGAGGTCTTCTCCTCGTTCTGTCTCTTCGACATCTTTTTAGCGAGAGTATAACGAGTATCGGAAAAAGTTGCTAAATCGAACGACGTCTTGTGTATTCTACATTCCACGCAGGACGAGACTTTATTCGTTTAATACGTAAAGCAAATTGCATATTGAAAGAGATTTTACACTATTTTCAGTAAAAAAAAAAAAAAACTATTAAATGTCAACAAATTTATTGTAAAAAATGTAAATGAAGATCTGTGCTATATATATCTTGTTTTTTTTTTTTCCGATCAATTATAATGCATTCTCTTCGAAAAAAAGACTTCAACACCGCGCGAGATATGTTCTGCTGCGAGAAGAAGATCCTTCAGCGAAGATAAATTTTTTTGTTTGAAAATTTTCGCTTTGTGTTCGCACAGGTGATCTGCAGTTTCCCGCGATGAGACGGCTTAGCATAGCCACCGCCCACGCATTTCTGCTTGTGTACGCGACAACGTCGTTACCGAGCTTCGAGTGTGTGAAACGTTGCTTCGAAGAAGTGAGAGAACAACGACCAGACTTTCAGGTGCGTCGTTTTATTGCACACGGATTTGTTCTGAAACGCCCGCGCGCGCCCGAATACAGACGTAAAGTACGTGACGTCGCGCGGCCGCGTCAGCAAACAGTCGCGACAAATTGCGATACTTACATTTATGTAGTTTGTTTTTATTTTTATTAAATGACACATGTCGGACATGTAACTGTCCGGTTCATTGAAACATTTATCGTAACGACATACTTAAAAGACGAAAAGATCGAAGTGTTACGTGAAATCACTTCGATCTGAAATTCTGTATTGCGGGGGAAAAAGAACTAGTCGTTAAAACTATTTTCTGACAGGAGGTACCGATAGTCGTCGCCGGAAACAAGCTCGATCTGGCGCCAGTACGGAGGGAAGTGCCTATCGAGGACGTGAGCGAGTGGCTGTTTTGCGAACTGCCCAAGTTAAGGGCGAAAGTGATGGAGTGCTCGGCGAAGGACGATTACAACATCAAGGACATCTTCAGGTGTTTTGTCACGCTCTCAAAAATTGTGCCGAAAAATCCAACGGGCGAGGGTGAGGAATCCGGTCTCAGAAGAAGATGTTCGGCGTACGGATCGCGCAGGTATATAATATAATAAATTTACACAGTAAGTATTTTTAATTTCTCGCGCGGGGTATTTGTTTAAAACTCGGTTGTGTGTGAACGTCATGTGGCATTAATTGCGATGATTAAGTAAAGTTTCCTCGTCACAACTATCACAGATACAGACTATAATCTCGAAGGACACAGCGAATCGCTAAGTCGGGCTTACTTAAACACAGATTGTTCGCCTGCAACCAGGCTTAAGATGAAGATTGCATCCGACGTAAACGAAAGCTGAGAATTTCAAGAGAGATTCGTTTCGGATTAAATGCGCGACGCGAACATAAAAGCAAGTCGACGCTTATTTAATAGTAAAATTACACGTTATCAAGCGCTTTTTAACATCAAAGTTGTAGTCGGTTAAAAATAAAAGTTGCCAAAACTAATATTACGAACAGTCGTGCGAGTGACGTATCGCGAGTAATAATCGGGGTATGAAACAAAATGTCGCGTTGAAAATGAAAGAAACTCGGAAAAATCACAAGATCTCCGATATACGCCGTCGCCGATACGAACCGTGACGCGATATAATTTTTTTAAACGACAAATGCGTTAGTTAAAAAATTTCTAGTAACGACCTTAACCGTTCTCTTGTTTCGCAGATTCGTTATTCGAGCGCGATTTGTTGCGCGCGTGTTACACGATCGATCAATATCATCGAACTAGCAGCTATAACAAAACAAGTGTGTAACTTTCCAATGTGTACATATATATATATATATATATATATATATATATATATATAAACTATTGTCGAGTCGAGTTAAATACGAATATAATTGCGATACGTTTGCAATATCGCTTATGGTTTAGAACATTGTTTCAGATTGTTTACGATTGCGCTACGCTGCGCACGACCTTAAATATCCGATTTCTCGTACACACATCTCGCATATTATTATCGATATTCGATAGTACTTGAGCCCCGCGCATTGATTCTTTTTGCTCATCGTTATATTCCGCACATTGTTCCTCGTCGGTGACTTCATTGTTACGCAGCACGTGAATTGTGTTTCCAACTTCCATTCATAAAAGAGATCACTTACATGTGTGCGCGTGTGCGCCACAACTTGAACTTTCTGCCATTGTTTTATTTAGAACTCGTATGTAACGAAATTTAGATTCTCGTTGCAATTTAATTACGAATATGTAATATATATGTACATCACAGAGAGAGAGAGAAAGAGAGAGAGTTGCAACTTAGAGTACCAACTTAGTATCAACTTTCTCTATTAAACAGAAGCTGTGCGAAAACTCTTAAACAATATTATTTGCCTTATAAAACTTTGATGTTGCAAAATTTTGCATCTATAATAATTTTATTTTTCAGAAATTAGATATAATTTGATTAGAGGTGACTTCTTGATCTTTCAAAGAAATCTAATTACAAAAAATGTTAAATTAATTTTAAGTTAATTAGAAAATAATTACAATAATTTATGTAACAACTATATCTGATCTCTAAATTATTACAATAACAAAGGTATAGCTGGACATCTAGCCGAAGTTTATAAGGGAGAAAGGAGAACTCTTGTTGCGGCATGAAATATGCTTTTGACCGTCTCTCTATGATTTTAGTTTATTCATTATTTCATTCTATGAAGGTCCGGCAGTCCAAGCGGCAGAACCGCCAGCGCGGGTTCCGGTGCAAATTCTCAGCAAGTGGTCGCGGCGCAAGGCTCGACCGTCGTTACTGTCGTCGAGGAGGTGAAGAGCAAGCCTCGCAGCCGCAGTCTGATCAGACGCGCTTCGAGAAAAACGAAGCAACAGATCAGAGACGCCCATGCCGACGACTGCAACATCTCCTAAACCGGCTATCCCCCGACGAGGAGTACGTACAAAAACATAAAGTCTCGTCGCAATCAGGAATCGGGGCCAATTTTCGCGAGTAAACCGTCGCGACAATGGAATTGTTTGCTTGCGAGTTGCCGATTTATATCCGCGACGAGTATAATTTCTTCACGGATGACGCGGATCAATTACTAATCTGTTTGCCGCTTGTTTCCGTGCTGATCTACGGGATTTCGAAAGTGAGCAAGTGCGCAGTAAAAGCTGATAAAACGCGATTAACTCTCTCTAGAAAAACATCTAGCTTGAAAGTCGAGGAAGTAAAGAAGTCGTCGAAGGTTCGTATATCAGAAAAGATGTGTATATCGATAAGCGAAATTAAATTCTCTCAGATCGCGTACTTAAAAAAAAACAATTTTACTCTTAGCGTGTTGAATGGTAAATATCGTTAAAATTATTACCAAATTGTTTTCAGATAAAACGTTACGACGTGTGTTGTTCTTTTTTTATTCTCCACAGTACAAAAAAAAAAGTCGCATATAACGTGATGTTCAAAAGATTATTATTTTGTTGAGAAAACAGAACGCGCGAATTTTGAAAAGAAAAGAGAGCTTTTGATGTACACCTTCTCTCTTCGGACCATTTTGTACATATACGATAACACAGTGTGAATGTGAGATTGATTGTGATTGTTTTCAACGAACGAATGAGATCCTGCATTTTTTTAGTGCAAATGTTCAATTACTTCGCAAAGCTACGCGCACTATTAGGATATTTTATGTGTTTAATGATTTGTGATATATTTGTTTTGCGATTATTTTGCAGTGTCTTTCAGCATTTGAATTTGCGCGAATGTAAAAACGTATAGTCTCTTTTGTTACTCAAGACAAAAAACAAATCAGAATATTATTTTCTCAATTTTCGACACACCCGTTTCGAAGGTGTGTAAGAAACAATTCGCGAGAGTGTTCTCGCAACATTTTTTAACATTATTCTGACGGAAAATTGCATTCAGTAATTCTCGCTTTAAATTAAACACGATGTTTTGCAGCACGCGCTGCATTTAAACACGCACGCTTTACTGCCAATTAAAATGTTCTGGTAATCAGAGACACGTTTTTCAATTTTTCATCTCACATACAAACGAATTCACATAAAAAATGTACTTACTTTGCTGGTGTCAAAAGAAGAATTTCCGATGCGCGAGCGTTAGTCGTCGCGTAAAAAGAAATATAATATTTGCAAATTACGAGATGCATAATCGTCAGAACAGTTTCTCTTGCTACTTCCCAGTAGTAACTTTGGTATATCAGATACGTACTTTTCTCTCTCACTCTTTTTCTCTCTCTCTCTCTCTATATATATATATATATATATATACATATTCAACACTTATTAAATAATAACGAGCTACTGCACATATTCGCGCAATCTTCACAAGTTTCATCTCGTCGAGAAATACTACATTTAACTGTAAAATTTCGAATTTTGTGTATAATGAGAAATATTTTAATTCGAAGAAAATTCTCGAGTTTATAACGCATTTTTCTTCACAAAGTTTTGAAATTGAATTTTAACACTTAAATGCACTGTTTTTTTTTGACATATTAATATTTTAAAGAAGAAAAAAAAAAGAGAGAGAGCGAGAAAGAATGAATAAGTGAGTGAGAGTGAGTGAGTGTGTGTGTGTGTGTGTGTGTATTACAAAAAATTTACATATAGGACTTATTAATAAATATTTAAAAAGAAGTTATAGAAATTTCAATAATTCCATGTAAGGGATATATATCGAAGCACATTATTTTAGATATTCAGATTTAGATAGGGTGCTGATTATAATTAAGGACGAATCGATAGAGAATTGACTCTCCTCCTTGTTCTATATATCTCAACGAATCTCTTCTCGCGTGTTATACTTCCTCCGCGAACGCTCTCATAATATGTTTCATTAAATTATAATTTTGAATGAATTATAAAGTTATTATTTCACTTTTAAATTTATTGGAACTTTTTATTTTACATTAAGTGTATTTTTATCAAATATTCTCTTGCTATTTTTTTTTTTTTGCAAACTCTACAATAACACTACCTTACGAGCAATGTAAGTGTTCAGCACAGAAGAAGGTAAAAACTCAGTTATCATTTATATATTATTTCGAAATGCTTATTCGCGAAAAGACAATAACTATAAAAAAACTATAAAATCAATAAAACAGTAATTATTAAAATAGACAATTTATACAAGAAAACTAATTACGCTGTACAAATATATTATGCATTATTAATTGTTTGCGGTATTTGAAATACTTTCGCTTTGTATCTTTAAAATCAAAAATTACATTTGACCTCAAAAAAAAATCAAACGTGATAGTGCAAAGGACATTGAAAAGAAGATGTCAAAAATATTTTATATATAAAATTGTGAAGAAAGAACTTTTATCGATACATTTGTACTATATAGAAAATAGAACAAGAAGGAGACTTCCCCCCCATGTACCATTGTAATATTGGACAGATGCACAAAAGGGATTGAAAGAAATACCATAATATATGAAAATACACATTATATTCAAATACGCAAAAAATATCTTAGATATGAGATTTAAGATACAAGACATATATCTCGATATATGTTTTCTATCGAAATATACGTAGAGATATACTTACTTGGAACATAATATTATATATAAATTATACGTAATTAAGCACAAAAGTAATCGTATAAATTAAGCAAGATAAGCGAACATTTCGCACGATATAGAAAGTTATCGTATATAAAAAATATATGTACATATATATATATATATAATTTGAGAATTTTCTGTTACGTAGTCTCATTGATTCGCGATTGCATTGAAAAACACATTTCTCAAACAAACTTCAATAATTCAATGATGGAAAAAAATTTCGATATTAATTTGCATTTTATTTTATGTATACAGATACTGTTTTTGTCATCCTAGTTGCAATTCATTATATTTGCACTTTTTTATGCTCGCAATTACAAAGCTTTTTCAAGTGAGCAATATTTTCAATATACTTGACAGTTTTATTTCCAGAAACAAAACACCCTTGATATTTATTTAAATGAGAATCATCGATTACGGACGCAAATAAACACGTTGTTATTATAAAAAGGACGAATCGTCGCTGCATTAAGTAACGCGACTAGATTACGAATATTAAAAACCGTCCTATTAAAAGATAATTTCAGCGCGACGAAGAAGAAATTATATGAGCGAAAGAGAGTTGAACGGTGCGTTTTTCGAGATAAGTTTGTCGTTGAATAAAAGAAAAAAAAATGATCACAAAAGTATGTTTGACGAGTGTTCACCTTGCGAACCGTGTGAACCGCGTGAGGTTTTCTATTTTGAGGGAAATCTTTATTTCGCACCTTTTACCGAAAGCCGCTCTTTTCCGCAATTTAATCACACGAGACTCATATTCTGAGCGATCGATCGAACTAGTCCAAACTGTGTGTATCTAAATATAAATATGCGTACACGGACCAAAACTCTCAGAACTACTTAGAATTCTTCTGTATAAAAAAAAAAAATAAAAAAATAAAAAAAAAACAGCCGTTAATTCAAAAAAGGTTGTTATCTCGCTTTGACGCAAAAAAAAAAAAATTATAAAAAGATATAGTTTTCACACAAACAAGTTCCTGACGGGATAATGGCCTTTAGCCGCTCGATAACAATTGATTATTTTTGTTCAAAATATCTTGTAATTATGACAAATATAAATGTGTATATATTTCATGTTTGAAGACACATCTCTGCTACATCACGATTATCTTTTTGAAATTCGTTGCTAATCTCTTCGTCAATGAGATCTACTAACATTATTTTCTATATACGTGCGAGTAAATGTGCGAGTAGTAGTCATCTTTAATCTGCGTACCTTTAGAAGTTAAGAGCACGATCCACATCCTCCTCCTCCTCCTCCTCCTCCTCCTCCTCCTCTTCCTTTCGAAATCTCTAACGATATGTGTACGTTCTCCTTCTAATTTCCTCAAGCTTAATCTTTACAAACAAGCGGAACGGCCGGGTAATGATGTCTCTGTAAATAATGATAATAATCAATTAGTCAACTCTTCGATGTAGTTAAGTGCGTATTCCCTAACGATGTATGTACACATGCTATTATTGAAATAATCGGCGCCGTGTCTTTGCACCATACTATTATCACGTCAGATACTCTTAATTGTGTGTAAAAAAACACGAAAAATGTGCGCGCACAGTGTGAATATTTATTCAAGATTTAAATTCGAAACACGCGACTGCAATGATATAAAACGAAGTGAGCAAGAAAAAATAATACAAATTGATAATTACCTCGGACGAATACAAAATATGATTTTTATGTATTTTTTTTTTTTTCGTTGGCTTTCCTTTCGCGAAAGAAGCGCCAAGCGTGTGCGTGTTGAAATTTATACAAATACAAAAACATACAATTACGATTCAAAGTGCGCGTGCATTTTTTTAAACAAGCTGTACATATAGCGCGTAAGAAAAGTGGCTAAGCTCTGCGAGAGAATCAAAAAGCGGAAACTCAAACTTTTGAGTGAACGAAAAAAAAAAACATCTATGAAATATGTATCTGTCTCTATGATACGTTTACACATATGCCGCATATATATATACATATACATATATAAATTATATACCTTCTAACGCCTTGCTTATCGTCCGGCAAATGTGTCTCATCGATTAATTTGTATCCAGTTGCACAATTTTCGCACTTACGATGTTTCAGATACAAATGTATGTACACTTCGTTCAAATGTTTACACTTAAATAATGCAATTTGCGTGCACACAGTTAGATGTTACAAGATAAATGTTAACTGAAGTTAGCGAGGAACACACACAAGTAGGAATAGAGGAAACAGATGGCGCACTCGTACGCGCGCGAATACGAAACTTTTAGGCCGGTATTTCATAGTCGGTCGGATCTTGTATTTAAGATCCGTCTTAAGTTTATCTTCAGATCATGTGCGAGTAATTTTATTGGCCGCAGAGCATTTGAAGATAGACTTAAGACGATCCTAAATATAAGATTCGACCATGAATACCGGCCTTAATCTCCGCTCTCACACGCGGTTTGTTCTTTTTTACCGAACTAGCTGTGATCCAGTTCGGAGTTGATCTTTTTCTTTACTCTTTTATGGAAAAAGAAAAAAGACCAAACTTCTGAACCGGTGTGACCAATTCGGCCAAAAAGAACAAACCAAATTGATATGCAGATATATATATTTTCCAATCGTTTAAAAAATATCAGTGTTTTTGTCAATATATTATCAGTGTTTCGTATGTTTGTGGGTGCACATCGCCGCGTTGTTACATTAATAAACGACAAAGTAAATGAACTATACACATCGCTCTTTAGAAGTTCCATTTTCGCGTGTTAAGTAAATATATTATATATATATATATATAATCTGGACGATAACAAAGACGTTAAGAACTAAAATAAAAAAATCCGAATTAAAAATCTATCGATATACCTGTGTCTCTCTGTATAACTTTTCTTTCTCGTCTCGCAAAATGTACCATCTCTCATGGGGAATCGATTCATCTCTCATTTGTGTCGACGAGAGCTTGTACGACGAACAACACGACAATGTCGAGGATCAGAAATTGTTACTTGCGTCAAAAAAACGTTTAACAATTGTGCGGGATCGGGTACGCAAAACTGTGCGTCTCAACTCTTGACCGAGGCGTGTATTAACGATATGACATGAAGAACGCGCAGAATCAGGTTTGAATTATGTCGAATTACCAACTTTCCATATTTCTCCCAATGAATATCCCTAGAATCGCTGTTTGAAAACAATCGAGTTTTTGTGTACGAGCTATGTATTTTTTTCGCAAAATGATCCACGCTCTCGCTACTTCTTCGCATTTAACCGACCGTAATTGTAATTCCGAACACATCAAATTGGAGCTTCGAATACTTTTGTAATTACGATATCATTGTCTAGATCCACCTGTTAATTAAAAAAAACAAAAAATTGTGCCTGTTATTTTAAACTTTGTTTAAAACTGTAACACACACAATCGCATATATTATATATTTACTCTGTACACAAACTTGTTGTATCCTTGTCGTGATTTTTTTAATAAACAAAGACGTATCGCGGGTCTTCTTTTGTCGCAAAGTGAAAAAATATATGTTGAAAATCTCTAGAGAATATATGTTATAAAAATTCTTTCAATTTTTTTATTTCTGTAATAAATAATATCCGCATATATAACACAACATACGTATCTAAACGTCACAGGAATTTGCATATTATTCGCAACGCGCAAGCTTCATGCATTTTTCACGCGAGCTTACGAGAACTTTTTATTTCAATAAATAAAAAGGAATGACGTGTTGATCGGATTTTTGTTTGTTTCATCTTTTTGTTTTTATTGCGTTACACAAACGCTTCATTTTATGAAGAAATAGTAGTAACATTCGAATTCGTGTCCGAATTGCAGTCGTTGTCCGTTCCTTGAAATAGATACTTGAAATGCTGCACATACGGCTGACAATGTTCTCCCCTGGTGAAGGCCGTGGTGTTGTGCAGCCTCAAGTTTCGCTGCTCGAAGAATTTGAAGACCGAGTGAAAGAGCGTCGCGTCATCGGTGGCTTTAGCCGCTTCTAAAAATTTTCTCGCGGATACTTGATCCACCATTCCGACTGACCGAATGTACCGTAAAGCGGCTAAGATATGTCCCTTCGACAAGAGCACTTCGATTATCTCCTCGTGCGCATTACCCAGCCGCTTGAGCATATCCAACGCCAACTGATGCGCTGCCGGATATAAATTTTCTAACGAAAGCAGCAAGCAAGCCAGAGGCTTCGAATCGGCGACCACATGGTATTGCAATAATTGATGAAGCTGATAGTACGCTTTTTGGTGCACCAGTGTTGTAATGACCAATTCGTGCAGATAATGTTGCACCGGAATTCCGTGTTCGGCTAATGATCTGATATACTCGAGTAAAACCCACACTATCATTTTTGGCTCTATCGTGTCTTCGGGAAACTTGGATAATATGTGACTATACATGTCACTCTGATCGAGTAACAATTTATATTTGAAATTCTCAGCCACTGTTGTTACGTTCTTTACATTATTCTGCAGAGGTGTTCCTATCTGTAGTAGACAAATTAATACAATACAGATATATATGATATTGGCCTAATCTTCGTTTTTTTTTTAACACATTTACGGAATGTTACCTGATTTTGTATTTCGCTCTCCAAATAATTTCTATACACGGAGTTGAGCTTGTCGAATATGGTCGGCATGTCCATTAGGCTTACGGGCAACTGCGTCATAAAACTTTGCAAGACTTGTATTAATATCTGCTTAGCGTTCGACCGTTGCATCAGAAATTCCACGAGAACTACTTTATCCGTAATCAATTTCACTAAGGCTTCCAATCTGAGCTCAATGTACCTATGCCGATACATTAACAAATGACAACAGTCACATTTAGAGATAAAAACAACTTGAGACTGTAAAATGCAGTTAAATAAACATACCATAAACAGCCTAGTTTCACATCAATAATTATATTTGGTTGAAAAACGACCCAATTAGGAGAATCTATGTAATGTTAAGACTTAATACTTGCATCAATAGTGTCAAGTCTACTGTTGTATAAATACTTATTTTGTTTTTATATCTAAAGGATACATAACTGACATGGCTGATACGTCTGATCCGATAAAGTCGCGCCTGGTACCTTAAGATTAAACGGTTTGATCGGTTTTGCTGCAGCTACACTAGTGTGATGCATTACTGTCCCATCACTCACTCCAGATAGCATAATATCAAATATCATTGATGTCTAAACAAAAAAATCTCAGTTAAACTCGGCTATACTACGTAAATTTGTTTGCTACGCAAATAATGAATGTGCCACCTTTGATGCTTGATGATGAACGATGATGAGATTATCAACAACATTTATGGCAAATCTGCCACCAACATCTAGTTTCAACATATGACTCTTTTTAATGGTCATCATTCTGCAAAATAGTAAAAAAAATAAATTTATTACATTCCTCGTGTATTAATTATGGCGTTTAAAGTGATAAATGAATTGTTTTTACTTGTGTATAGTATAAACATATACAAATGCTGTTCCCATTGAGCGATTGGCTCCAATATGATGCCTCAACAAAATTATGCAAGGTGTTCCATATAACACAGCCAGTGCTACATCTCTTTCAGAAACAGCTAACTTCCCTGGCTTTGTTATACTATGTTCAACTGGAATAATTGTAAATAAAAAAGTTTTTGTGTGAAACTCAATATTTACTTGCATACTTTCTATTGGGTTAAATACTAACTCTCAAACTTGGTTAGTTTATGAATATTTCCGGATGTAATATGCAATGCTTGTATCTGATTGCCAACTGTGCCAGATGATAGTAACACCAAATAACTTCTAGGGCAGAATACGTACCAATTTACACCTAAGCTTAAACACTTTAATGCCTTAACATTACGTTTTTCTGGATTAACCTGGAAATAGTAGCGATTTTATCACTGAAATAATTCTTATACAAATAAATAATTGAAAATACAATATTGTGTATTCTTTACATACATGAAACAATTCTACTCCGTGATCTGTGATTACAAGTATTTCAGTGCCATGTGTCCAAACAAAGCCAAGTATTGTGGCATTTTTGCCTTTGCATGGCTGAGAATATTCGACATGATCCAAACCAGAGACAGAAGAGTAATTAACAAATTCCACTGATGAATTAGTACGTTGGATCGCAAGAATATTCATGTCAGGAGAGAATTTGATGGATATCACCGGACCTCGATCTTCCATACGAAAATTTAAGTTCTGGTCCGGGCCCTTAACGAGCACTCCTGTGACACCGCCTGAGCGAACGGCAAACACCTGTATAAAAAATAAACGTTTATCGTCATTGTATATACGTCATTGCATGTAAAGAGATAAAACAAGTACTATCGTCAAACAAAATTTCGACTAACTTGTTGTTTCGAGTCATCGAAAAACACATTTGTGAGACAGCTGACTGATTCAAATCTAATAGGTTCAGGGGACAACTCCAGATAATAATTATCGTTTTTCTCTCGATCATCGGCTTCCATGTCCGGCATAACTGAATCATCTGATCTTGACGTTTGACAGTTCTCGAAGTTATGTCAAAGATGGAAGCAGTTGGAAGCACTGCTGCGCGCGCCGATATAAGAAAAGTTTCTTGTAATGGCGAATTGGTTAATCGACCAATACAATTGGCCTATGCAGTGTTCCAATGCAGTGTTGACAAGCAAACCTATGGATAGACCATTTTTTCTCAGACATGCGCGATGTAATGTAAGGTTACTCGTGCAATGTAAGCAAAGGTAGAAGCAAAAGGAGACTAAAATAGTTTTTTTTATAATACTTCTATTGATGTCAATTTTAGATTGTAGGTCCGGAAAAAAGCAGCTCAATCCATTATGTAGTTATGAACTATATCATCAGTATTTCTTAATTTGACTTATAAACAGTTGAATCAAATCCAAAATTACATCTGATGTCAAGATGTATCGTGCAGTTGTAAGTGTAATTTCTTCTATTTAAGAAATTAGTGCTTTGTTTTAATTTTTATAATTAATAATTGAATAGACTTCTTTGGAAAATGTTTTGTAGCAAAAGGGTCAGTCACAAGAAGAAAATATCAACAGTAGATTTGATAGGAATCACTTCCAAGGACATGCAGCTACTAGGAATATGATGCCAATGTCAATTTCAAAACAATTGAAAAAGTCATGGCTTACAGCTCTAATAGGATCCATCATGCTTGCTTGTGGAATGTGTTTCTTGTTCTGGAATGAGGTTTACAAATGATATTTTTAGAGTGTATGTCTATAACAAGTCTTTGATAGAATTTAATTAATTGTACATATTGTGTTTAATTTCAGGGAAAAGCTGTGAGGATAGCATATTCCTTAGATGAGGCTCTACGCAATGTAGTAGTACTTTCTAATCCAATGATACTTGCTCCTGAACATGAGGGCTCTTTGGTACATCTGTCAGGACCCTTGCAAGTCTTAGAACCATTGACTGAATCTGATTATGGAGTTGTTATGTCTTGTGTAAAATTAAAAAGGAGAGTTCAAATGTATCAGTGGATTGAAATCGAAGAAGAGCAAAGGTGCATTACAAGAATTTGACATTACTAGTTAATTTAATATATATAGATACACAAAAATGTCTTACTTAAACATTTATTTTTATTTAATTCTTGCACTTCTAGTTTTGATGGGATAGTGGAAGATGGAAAGCGTTATTATTACACAACAGAATGGAAGGACAAGCTTGTAGACTCGGATCATTTTTATATTCGCACTGGTCATCAAAATCCGAAAGAGATTCCGATCAAAAGCCAAATACAGATTGCAGATGAAGTGAAGATTGGTGCTTTCACACTCGGTACGGAGTTGAAAGAGAAGTTCAACAACTTCATGGAAATCACCAGTGATGAGAGACCAGAGCGAAAAGACATCAAGATGCATTCTGGATTATACTATCACAGTGCTAATTTGTGGGATCCACAAGTATGTAAACTTCCATTTACATTGTACTTTTATTTTAAGATGTTACTCATGTAATTAAGAAATCTTTTTTTCTTACTTGCAGGTAGGTGACATTAGAATACAATTTTCTTATGCTGGAAAAAGTGGAGATGTTTACTCGGTAATCGGTCTGTTAGAAAAGAACACAATTAAACCGTATTATACAACTCACGGCGAGGAGATCTTACTTCAACAAAGGTACAAAATGTCGGTAAAGGACATGCTTCACCTCGAACATGTCAATAATTATTGGCGAACGTGGCTTTTCAGGTATTACCTTAATAACTAATTTTGATATATCTGTAATTCGATACACACAGTATATGTGAAAAAAAGTCGTAATAACTAAAAACAACGTTCTATACAAATAACTAATATATAATTTTTATAATAAAACATTTTTCAGAGGATTTGGGTGGTTGGTACTATTTGTAGCAGCGACGTGCTTAGCAAATATATTGCAAACAATTATATTAAATTCAACTTTTCTTTGTGGTATAATACCAATGGAATCTTTGACAATGTCGGTTTCTGTGTCTATTAGTTTATTGGTCATTGGTTTCGCTTGGGTGTGGTATCGACCAATGATCGGTTTCTGCTTAGCACTAACGTCTATTCTACCTTTCATTGTAAAGGTAATTACGAAATCAGGATCTTCATCTCAGCAACGTAATACCTACACAAGGCTGTAGGTATTAAAAGAGAAAAAAGGAAAAACTCGATAGTCTTTGACTTTGTTGTATATTACCGACTTACTATCTTTAAAATGCTTATTTAATTAAAACTAAAACTTTTACAGTATTATATTTGTTTTGTATTTTTATTATTTATCGTATTAAACATTTTTATGAAGATTGTAATAAAGATTCGATATTAAAATTGTGTAAATATGTATTAATTTTTTTATACAATGTTAAATCATCATAAAAAAACATTGTCGAAAAACGCTTTTTAAATGCATTCAACCTTAAAACCGTCTTGTTCCTTTTAGGATTTATTTCTTTTTAAAAAAACTGGTAATGCTTTTAGATCCTGCTGCTGCTCTTTGTATAGCTATCTCTTTTTTACTGGGAGCAGCATTTGTCTGTAACAAGACAATTGCAGATATTGAGATTGCACGATCTTATTCAGAATACATCGAAAAAAGCCTATTTTTTATAAACGTTTTTGCTAAAAAAAAAATAACTGACCTTTTCAGAGTTAATTTTCTTTATTTTTGGTTTTGGACTCTCTTCAACAAAATCTTTCTTAGTTCTTTTCTCATCACTTCCGTTATTAGGACTAGTTGGTTTGCGCTTTTTATTCTCTATTTCTTCAGGTATATTTAAGTACTCTGCCAACTTCTTGGACAGATCTTCAGCAAGATATTCTGACACAATACCATGTGCATATCTCAAATATTCTACAATAAAATTGTCGGTAAGTATTTTTTTAATAGCTTTGCTTGTAGATAATAGCCTACAAAAATCCATTTAATATTTTCTTACATTAGTTGCAACATCTTATCTCTAGTCAATGTTTTTTGTGATTTATTATATGTAAACTACACAATTCTTTTTTTTACCTGTTTCTGCAGCACTTTCAAATTTAGTGCTTTTGACATAAGTAGCACTCATAGCACCTTGAGACACATGAACTCCTTTTTGTTTCAATACTTTTGCTACTTTTTCTACTTTGTTTTGCAACCATTTTAATGATTTCTTTTCATTAAACTTGAAGGCACATAATGAATCTTCTCCCTTGTGGTCAGCAACTAAGGAAAGATTTAAATTTTCACATTTTGCTAAATAAGAGGTTTCTGGAAAATCCTCGTCCCAAAGGCACTGTTCCAAAGGTTGTGCTAGTTGTGACTGCAATGCAAATATCTATTTCTTAACAACTCGATTTCAGATATAAAAAATATTTAAATGTAAAATAGTAATTTATTAGTATACATGTGTATAAACTTTTCTCTTACACTTACCTTTCTTAAATATGGCAAAACTAAAAAAAGTGGATCAATTGGAGTTGACAAATGTAACTTGCCATCAGATTTGACATTGTCATCAATGAACCAAGATCTCTTGTCTTCATTAAAAACTAAAACCTCCTGTACTCTGAGATTCCCAGGAGTAAACACAAATACAGCTGGCTTATTCGAAGCTGGATGTCTAAGTTTTACAACTTCTAATTGATTTTCATTTGTATCATCTAGATCATCTTTTAAACAATAAAGAGTACAAACATCCTTAGATAAAAAATAAAATAAAAATATAACAAAAAACAATAACCAATACGTTGAAAAAAACGATTTATTTTATTCTTTATTTAATTACCTTTCATAAGAAAGACCCATGTGTTTGTTAAGGAATTAGAGCTCTTGACGCTCTTTTGCGGTAAGCCTTTGGAGCGCGGCATTTTCCCGCGTAAATATTATTGTGCTGAATTTTGTAAAGGTTATTTTCTTGATTTATTTAACATAATTCGATTCGGGCTATTTATTTGTGTTCATACGCAGAATCATCGAGCAATCAGTTATCGGGAATTTATTTGTTGATTTCGTTATCTTTGAAATTTGCCGTAAAAACGTTACGGCAATTTACTTTCGTTCCGTGAAAAAAATAGAGGTCAAACTACCTTTTGCAAGGAAGAAGGGGAAACTCGCCAACTTGCTTTTGCAGCGCCGCCGTTGATTCATCCGAGAAATTGCAACACGGTGTAATGGCACCTGTCACAATACACCTCTTTTGCGTTCTTTTGCTAATCCTTTCCCCACCAATCTGCAATAGTTTCCACCTGCTGAATTTCCGTTGAATTCGGCGTCGTCTGATGTCAGTTGGTAGTGTGCGTTCTTCGTGTGTTTAAGTATTATAATCTTAGTATTACACTCTCGCAATCTTAGTATTACACTATCTCAGTATTATAAGAAAAAGTTTAACGAACGTATGTGTATTTTTTTACCGAATACCTTGTTTCAACAAAGCATTGCAACAAGTAGGTTTATTTTGAAAATTATTCAAATTATTGTGACATAAAAAAAACGCACTTGTAGCTTTCAAAGTGTTACTACATCGAGTAATATACCGCTCGCTTTTGTCGTTTGACATTTATACTGGAATTCAGCGAGTTTCTAACGCGATACATAAAATCGTATCGATTCGTCGTAATGGTACATTGGCTACCAAAGAGACGTTTTGTGAAAAGGTACCCACTCAACTGATTAAAACTGCATGTAGAAGTATTTGATTGGATTCTATAGAATTCCCCACATTATTTTATTGAAATTAAAACTTTCTCAGTCTCAACGAGTCTAATACAGTGTGTTGTTAAAGAAACTAAAGTGTTTATACTAATATATAAGTACATTTATACACACATACGTACTTATATTGTTGTTTACTGAACAACAGTGTATTTGAGAATGTGCTAATGCTGTGTAGAGATATTTTATATAGAAAAGTGTTTTTTTTTTTTATTTTTCTTATCTATACACACAAGACATTCTTGTCTTAGATAAAAGCAACATAATAAAGAGACTAGATCTTTTTCCTCATTGCGAATATATATATAAATATATTTACATACACGTATATAAACATATAATTTGTGCAATATATCATGGTTTCTCAAGTTTTTTATCCACGTCACTTTTTATATCCAATCATATTGTTCAAATACATTAACTAAATTTCTAATATATTAACTAAATTTATAAATGACAAGTTTGTGGAATTAAATCCTTGGAAGAAAGAGTTTATACGGCCACAAAAAAAAATTTAAAGTAAAACCACTAACAATCATGAAGTCAAGTTATCTACTCATAGCAGCAATATTACCATTCGCCATCCTTGAGATTTGGTACACAGGAATGTAAGTTGCTTTATGATTGTGTGTGTGTCTAAGTATTATGTCTGTTGTTAAATGTCACTGTGTGCATCATGATACAGCTTGTGCCAGCTTATTTAAACAATCTGAAACTATTTTTTATTTAATAGAAATATTTATTGACGTATCCCACAGTAATTTAAACGAGTCATTACTGACAAAGAAATTAATCTTAGACATACCACAAACTTGCTGTGACACAACATGTCTATGTTATTGTATGTTTTTACACAATGTAAATGTTAGAGTTAATAAATTCAAAATTAAACTTATGAGAATTATGATAATATGATAAAGACACATAAGGTGAAAGATTATTAAATTTGTTTATAACAATGAAAAAAAAATAAGAAGAAAGTAAAATATACATGATATTTAAATATAAGTATCTGTTTGATTGGTCTCAGAGAATGTCTATAATTTTTCATCTTTCTTATCTGTGTGGTAAATAAGACTTGTATATATTTATATTTTTTCTTTCTTATCTGTGATGAAAACATGTATCTATGACGAGAAATGTTATCTAACATGTATGGAGATTGTATGTATACATACATAGAAGAGAATGTTCAAGAGTATTGGAACAAGACTGCACATGCCAACTAAATGCAATTTTATATAAGCACATTAGTTTGTGATTCACTAATGTCTTGTACAGATATGCAAACATAATTGTTCGAATTGTACGAAAAAAAATTAACATGCAAGGAAAGTGGTGAAAAACTGGTCAAGTGTCAATCGTTATACTGTGTTCTCTACGTACATACTTGAGTTATTTATGTCTGGTTAGCTAACCCCCCACTTTTATAGAAATTTCATCTAAAATTTCTAGATTGACACGCTCTTAGAATCGTGCTACGAAAACCTTTGCGCTCCTTTCGTTTCATCAGAAAGATAAATACTTTTAGTGAAAGGTGAGATAAAAAATTTAAAGAGAACGTAATTATAGAAACTCGACGTGTGAGACAATTGTTCAGATTTGCATTTTGAAGCAAGTTGTAAGATACATATAAATGTTATCCCATAAATAAGTAGTTCTACATATTTGTTTTTTAAAAATACTTGTTATTCATGAGGACACGGAGGAACTCTGGCTTGTGCCTTTCAGCCAATCTCTCGCAATCGAATTACATTTTCGTGAAAAAACAAAAGAAGCGCAGGTTTTGTTGCCGAATTTTGAGAGCATATTCACAGAAAAATGGAGTCACACGATTCTATCAATTACATAAATGTTATATAAAGAAGTTTTTTTTTTAGAGGGGAGCTAACTAGACAGACGCGTGTTATTATTTTGAAAGTTGGAGACGTGTGAATGAACTCGCGTTCACTCACCTGTATATGTAGACGTACATACAAAAGATCGAAATATCGAATATCATCGAATCAACATATCACTTTTGAACAATTATTTTAAAGGATATTAGTGCATTAGATATTATACAAAAAATGAAATGAAACTGTTAATAACTATGTTAAAAATTTCTAAAGATACAATATTGTGTCAAGTGTATATCTGAATTATAAATATTTTTACCTTATCAGACTGCTATGAAATTAGCAAGGTACATCACGAGATATAATTCTATTATTGTTTTATATATGTAACTCGCTGGTATTTAAAGTTACACATTTATTTGATAAATTTTTGCTTAAGTACTTGAATATATATTTTATCTCTTGTACTTACATATGTAATAAAATAAAAACATGTATTCTATGTACATATAAGTCAAGTTTTTTTTTTTAAACAAATGTTGTTTGTTTATTTAATTTAGTTTGAAGAATTATTGCATGTTGCTATTATATGCATATATATATAAATATGATATGTTTATTAAGATTTTGCTTTATACACGGAATTTTGATCAATTAATGAAATGAAAAAACTCGGGGCTTTATATATGTACATAAATGTACTGTTCTCTTGTTTTGAATTATTTTGTTTTGTTCATGCTTTTGATTGCTGCTGTTTTGTTTGTGCTTAAGTAATAAAGTGTTTGATAGCATAGCGGCGGATATATCTTTACAGAGAATATCTTTAAGAAAAGAATCACCATAAGTCCTTACGCAAACAGTTTTATAAAGAAAATAAATATTATAATTAAAATATGTGATTCGGAAAGGATTTTAGGTGGTTCTTATACATGGTTTATGTATTTTGAAATTTTTTTATTATAAATCAATTAATTTATATAGTTTTGCCACTCTAATACTATAAAAAAAACTATTCAAAATAACAGAAATGAGCTTTGCTACATTATTAGTTGTACAACTTCTATGTTATACGTATAATATATGTGTGCTCTGTATTATAGATGTGTGATTTGGACAATGAAGGTGTCTGTATTGATATATCTCATTATATTCGGACTCATTCCTGTAATTTTTCATTATTCCCAAACGTTACAAAGAAAGATACTCTTTTTAAATTTTGGTAAGTAACACAAATTAGTGATACAAAAATGAGAAATTGCATCATTTTAAATATCTTGTACGTATAATTCTAAAATTGTATATATATTTTTACAAAGATATACCGTGAAAAGATAACATTTATTTTGCTTCGCCATAGAGATATGTAGATTATATAACTTATATAATAGTTTATATAATAGTTATTACATAATAGTTTATATAATAGTTTACTTGATAATGATAACTACTTTTTTATCTATTTCAGTGCAATGGCCACTTAAAGTGGAGTTTTCCAATCCAAAATCGGTTGGATTGGAAGGCGCTAGGAATTTTTATCTATATACCGATCAACAAGTGAAAATAGGTGCTTGGTAAGTGTAATTGCAAAATACACACACAATTTTTACCTTTGTAGAAATAAAACTGTATTTATTATTATAATAATGTATATTAACTAATGATATAAAAAACTAACATTTTTACAGGCAGATACTGCCCAAGTCTTTATTAAATAATACTATTCCTGCGACAGATGAAGCATACGAAACACTTTTAAGCAATGCCAAACAACCAGTATTCCTATACATGCATGGCAACAGCGGTAATCGAGCAAGTTCGCATAGAGTTGAACTTTACAAGCTTTTTCAAGATTTGGATTACCATGTGATATGTTTTGATTATAGAAGTGAGTAAAAGTTCAAAGTTTATTAGAATGTATAAAAGTGTATATTGTATAAATTTCTAAGAACATTAAAACGTAAATGTTATCGGAGATTTCTTATCAATCAGGTTACGGTGATAGCGATGAACTTGACCTTTCTGAAGAAGGAATAGTCATGGACAGTAAGTACGTTCTTGAATGGGTGATGAAAAAAGTTAACAATTCAGCTCCAGTTTTTGTCTGGGGCCACTCTTTAGGAACTGGGTAAGCTATTGCGTTTTATTTTTTTTTTTTTTTTAGAATGCATGTAGAAATCACTTTTATATCCTTATTTTGGTAATTTAAACTTTTAGAGTTTCTACACATATGTTAGCTCTGCTTGCAGCTGAAAATATACAACCGACAGCATTGTTTCTGGAAGCGCCTTTTAATAACATGGCGGATGAATTAACAGAACATCCACTCGCACAGGTTTAAATATTATGTTGTTTCCTTTCACCAACCAATGAGCATATCTTCTCACTTACGTGTTTTCTACAGTTATTTAAGCATTTACCGTGGTTTCATTGGTTGATCGTCGAACCTTTTTATAACAATAATCTACGATTTGAATCTGACAAACATATCTCGAAGATCGAATGTCCCGTTATGATATTACATGCTGAAGACGATGGTGTGATTCCAGTCTATTTGGCGGAAAAAGTATGAGTTTACAGTATTTGTATCGTGTACAACAATATTTCTAAGTATAGCTTAGAGTAAGAAATCAATATTTGTGATTGTTGTATTTCAGCTTTATCAAGCAGCAATAGATAGTCATGGAAATGATACAAATCATATACAAATGATAAAAATAGATTCGTCTTATGGACTTGGACATAAGTACATTTGTAGGTACAAAGAATTGCCCAGTATAATCAAGTAAGTTATTCAGATGTTATCATGCTGAATTATATATAATTTTGTTTTATTGCGAAAATGGTATTCAAAATTATCTTGTTCTTATATAAATATTATGTACATATATATAACGTTTATTACTTGTATTTTCAGGACGTTTGTTGCTAAAACAAACAGAAATCAAATTGAATAATTATTTTGGATTATAGAAATTAAAAATTATTTATGTAAAAAAAAAATACGCTCTTTAGTAGAAATTCATTCTGATTTACAAGTCAAAAACGAAGAAAACTGTTTTAAACTTAGCATTCTCCAAACGAAGATAAAATATGTAAATATAGAATGTGCAAACTCTATGTGCATATTCTTATTCTATTTTACATGTTCTTAAGTTCTTGTAAGCTTTTATTTCTGGAAAAAATTTCTTGGAAGAAATATTTTTCTTGTTTTTTTTGTTAATTCTCAAAAATTATATTTTCAATAATTGTAATTTATTGAAAATTTGACGCGTTCAACATTTCTGTTGTTAAGTATTCAATGAAAACTTTTTAAGCAAAAACATGAAGCGAGTCATTATGATCTAAATACGTATGTAATCGTCAATTTATTAGCCAACAAAAAACGTGTATAATCACATAACGATGTTGCCCGTGTTAAGAAGCAAATACCTGACGTATTACACGTGTGATATACATCGACAGCCAAAATATTGAGATTGGCTGTGCACTTTAGTTTGTCGTATTTGTACAGGAAATTGATTTATATTAAATATTTTTATGAGACACATTTCTTTTTGTAAAATTGTGTAGATGTTGTGTATAGATGTTCTTTTATACGTAATATATACAGTGCAGTGGAAAAATATACTTAAAAATATATTACAAATTAAGATTCGTAAATAGATTTCTTAAGTATTATTACTGTGATTAAAAATAAAAGTTCATCTTTCACATCCATATTTTATTAATAGTGCCTGAAAAATAATATGATTTATTCAAACTTTTTAGAGATATGCACCAACGAACGTATAGACCGTATCCTCTAATATTTAATTCTGTTAATGATGCAAATCTATCGCTGATCTCAGGTGAAACTTCTTCACCGTTTACTCTTCATTCTTATTGGTTTCTGTTGGTTCCTGCACCGCACGCAGAATTGCACACGATTCTGCGGAATAAAAACAAAAAACGAAACAAACAACGGTCTGAAATTGAATATGTATCGGCAACCATACTGTGCGCGCGTGTAATGCGCCGTTTGCGGATGATTGCGCGCGCAACCATTTGCAGCAGACGACAGCGTGCCATGAGAATGAGGGGTAACGAGAAGAGGTGAACGTGGGTGAGAACTGCGAGGAGAGCATGATGCAAAGCGGTTAAGGCACGCGTTTTGGCCGTCGTGCGATCGATGACCGCACGCGTGCTCGTTAATTGCAGTGACGAATTTTTTGTGCACGTCGCGTCGTTCGTCGCACTTAACCGAGCGTTCGTTGAGCGCTCTCGTTGAACGTCGATCGTTGTTAATTTCGTCGCGATCCAGGGCGTCAGTAATCGTTCGATTTGCCGGCCGCGTGTTACCAGCAGTGTGTCTGAATTGTGAGTATCAGCGCGCTCGTCGCCGCAATTTTGCCTTCTTGTGATTCAAAATCTTTCCCGCGTAATGAACGTTCGGTCGCGATTTTGTTTCCGGCTCGTGTTTCGTCTCGTCCGTGGTTTATAGGTGACATAACGACCCTTGGAATATTACAACACGTGGCGCACCTTGCACACTTCGCGATTCCCCGTTCACGCTACTAACTTTCATCTCGAGAATTTTCATCACAACCAGTTTCAGTGGTTTTTTTTTGTTTTGGTTTTTTTTTGCCAACTGTGATATTGATTTAGTTTCAGTTAGTTCGAGATTGAATTTAGTGAAAGTGGTTTTATAATAATATGTTACATAGTTCGTGCAGTCACCCGAGAGTTTCTAAAATTTATTCATTTTTGTGAGTAAGTTTTTCTATTTTAGCAAGACAACAAAAAGAGACATTCGCCAAAGTGGTAGTAGCTTTGTTTTATTTCCTTGTATATATCGAGTCTGTGTATCGAGTTTTTGTTGCTTCCCGTAACACCCGTATATCAATCTTATGTAAATGCTAGATAAGAATAATCAAGTTGTGATTATGCACAGTTCCGGATTTACACTAGCAAATAGTTAACACACCTTATAAAACACTATTTTGTATTTTGTATCTTACATTTTACCTTGATCCAATATCGTTTAACAATTTGAAAGTATCTTCTAAGTAACAGTTTTAAAAATTGCATATTTTTACAAACTTATACATTGGAATAAATTAATATTACGTATATATAATGTTTATAATTTTTATCTTAACGTAGAATTTGTTATTCTCTTTTTTTTCTTGTTTTTATCTAAATTTATTAAGTTCTATTCTAGAAACATTGATTAATTATAAAAGCATTGGTTTTTTTATTCACTTTTATGTAGTTTTTTGTCAGTGCAATTTTTGAATATTCGCGCCGCGAACAGCGCGGTTTGTTTCGCGCTGCGCATATACTACGAAGCGTTTCGTGGAACGTTTAGCATCGGAAGCGTTTTGGATCAGTTGAGAGCGCTAAGCGGACTCTACCTGTTCAACGTGCATCGCTACGTTGCACTCGCAGCGTTGCGCAATGCGCTTTAGTTTGGAGTTGCAGCCGCTAGGCGGTTTTCCTCTCGTACTCCACATAGAATATTTAACAAAATAATTATAAAAGTTGCATTTAATAAGCTTTCTGGTGTATTTAAATAATCAAAACTTCAACAAATAAATAATTGAATTTTGCCGCGACAATTTTGAGGTCTAGAAGTAAAAAACAGAAGCGAACAGTTCAAATGCATATCCGCGACTCTTCCCGATAGTGCTTGCGAACAATGCAATTCGTATATAAGGATGCACCGCACGATATTCTCTCGGGTAGTCTGATGCTTCCCAGGAACACTCACGAACGCGTATACGTGGCTTTCGCTCTATACGATGTTTCTCTGTTCAGCATCTCTCATATCCCGGTACTCACGTTCAGTTAAAAAAAACACCACGTGTGTACAGGTTTAAAACCACAAAAAAAAATCGGGTTCGCGTCGGTATATTGCTTGTTTGTGCTGTTCAAAACCAAACTGAGGAAGTAACAATTGACTATCTTTTTTGCAAACGCAAATTCTATTTTTTATTTCAATAGCTGTAAAACAATCCTGGTTTTCTTTTTGATATCATATATCATATATCATGATGACAAAAAGTATTATCTTTTGTCAAAAATTACGACAGTCAAAGCTGATCGAATAAAATTATTGCAATTTTTATTTGTACGAATCATTTCTATTCGGTTGTTTGGAGAACAAAAAAAAACGACGTATTCTTTTGAACATTTTTTTCGACGTGAGTGTTTCATAAACACTTATGTATTTATGAATTAGAATAATTAATATTTCATAAGTGACACGTCGTTTTTTTTTTTTTTTTATAATATATTCCAAGGTGATATAAAAATTCGCGGAAATGATAATGAAACTTGAGAACAGACTTTGTACGGCTAATTTGGGATTCGGTCGAACGACACCGGCCACGGCTGAAAGAGTAGGAAAAAAAGTTCGACGGTAACGAGAGAGTCGAAACGGGACGGGACAGGGACGGGTCGTTAGTGATACTCTTCACATTCTACTAAAGAAGCACGCGATATCGCGCTTAGGTGTGCGACTTGTGACTTGTGCTTGCGCATCGAATTCCTCGATCAGATCTTGATCGTTTGTATTCCTGCGATTTCAGAATTATTTTGTCGTTAAAGTGTTAAAATGTCAGAAGATTGATGCGGAGAGAGATCAACCAAAGAAAGCGCCTTCGAACGTGTTATCGTGTGATTAAATTCGTGTCAAGCTGAAGAAAGCAATTGATTCATGGAGCAAGAAGAGAACGGGAATACAGAAAGAGACGCAAACGGAAATACGGAAAAAGATGATAGCGAAACCGAAGAGATGATCGAAAGCAGCTCCATCGGAGACTCGAACACGTCGATTGAGATGGAGAAGTCGGAGACCGGTCGAAGAACGAGTATTTTCAAGTTCTACGAATACAAGAATGTCAGTTCAACAGGTGAGTTGAGGGAAATTTTAGCTTTTTTTTAAAAAATGTTATACTTAGCAGAATAAAAAAAAAACGTCGGATTTTTTGAGTGACATTGTTGTTAGATAACAAACGAAATTTTCTCTACTCGCGAAAAAAATGACAAAATTATGCAAAGTGGATGAAGACATTTAGCGTTGCGCTGATAATTTACACGGAAATTGATGAAGTAATACAAATATATTTGATAAATAAATATATTTTAATACAATTTTGATTTTTTTCTTTAAGTGAAGAATAAGTACGCGTCTGTTGTCTCTTGACAAGTTCAAACTTCACGATGATTATGATAGTGTGGACTTTAGACGCGCTCCGATGTCGATCAAATATTGATAAAAATGACGTATCGCATTTTTAAGATTACGTAGTCCGTTCTGACCGCGAGTTCGTTCACGCGCACATGTGTGTTTCATTGACTTTCTTTGTAACACTTATTTTTAGCGCGAATAAAAGCGGGAATTTCGCATGTACTTTGTACTCTAAACAACAATGAAATTAAGTATAGTTTGGCGATAAGTTTTTCTAGTAGAAAAATTTGCAAAGAAAATTTGAGAAAGAGAGAGAGAGAAATATTTTCTGTACAAATATATTTCGGACATTATCGTCAAATTGCTCGATGAACTCTTTGAGATTACGATCTATTCGTAAATATAAAGTTGAGAAAAATCTGTGAGATGTCGCGCGCACTACGTAGATACGAGCCTTTCCCGCTAGCCAATCACGTCGTCGCTTCCATACGTCATCGTCGCGGAACGCCATGTGATTTCCTCCCATTCCCATTCAAAGTGGCGTGCGTGTGTGAGCGAACGCTTTCTCGTCACCGTGACACTCGTGGTCGGGTATGCGTTTACGCGTTCTCGCGTTAGAGAATGTTCAGAACGAGGGATTGCGAGAGCGATTTTTCCCGGAAAACTGCGTTACATAGATAGAAAATTTCGCCGAATGTAAAAAATGATAAGGAACGTAGAAAATTTGAATTTTTTTTTACGTGAATGTAGAAAATTTTGATTGAAATAAATGATAAGGAACAATTATATTTGTGTGACTTTATAATTTAACGATTCGTTATCGTCGATACAGCTTGCTGCTGATCGTTCGTTGGAAATCCTCTTGCGCGCACATGTATTTATTTTATTGAACGCGAACGTCTGCAAATGGTGATGATTTTTTTTTTTTTTTTTTTAATATATTTAATCCGAATTAAATATATTTATTAATTAAATATATCGAGATTAAAACAGTTTTTGTGATACATTGCAACTCGCCGGACACGCGATGCACACGCAAATTCGGACGTGTGTGTTATCGCGCGTCTCGATTGTATAGAAAGCAGTACAAAATGAGAGGAGGGAGAATGACGAGCCTTCTCGAAGAACGAATAGAAGAGACGCATGTTGCGACGTAAATAGGTTTAAGAAAATCGTTGACGCGACGATTCTGTCATTCGTACCTCCACGTTTACGAGATTGCGACTTTAGAGTTCATGTGTGAGACAACCGTAACGGGAAACAGAGAAAGAGAGAGAGAGAGATAGCACCGCTCGATAGTGCTGGGAAGCTGATATCAACTGTAGAGAAGTAAAGTGTAATTCTTTGTACAGCTTATTAACAGAAGGGATTTAAAAACTTCGAAAAAATTTGCAAAATTTTCACAAGTTTTTAAAATGATATTATGTTTTATTGCAAATTATAATCGCGCACACAGATATATGACAAACTTTCGTTATATCTGTAATTAGTAAATTTAATTTGGTTCATGTTTGTTTTTATTTAACTTGCTGCGGCGCTTATCTTCTTCCCATTAGCGTCCGCTTTTATCTCGCGCGCGTTTTCGGAAAGAACAAAAATAACATTTTTTTTACTTCTCCGCATCGTGTTTTTTCGAGCGTGTTAAAAAAGACCGACGTGTGTCTCTTTTCTTTTTCTTTCAGATATGGAACCGAAGATACCGGGACCTCTCGTTGGCGTAATTGACGTTGGCACGCGGACCGTTCGTTTTGTGGTGAGATGATGATTAACCGTAAGAGTAGTAGTTACATGTGTCTTATCGCGTTTTATCGGCTTTAATAACTTCCACGCTTGGAAGTGTTATATCACAAAATTTGATTGATCGGAATATTCCTATGATTCACAAAATGATAAAGTAATTACGGTGAAAATGCGCGATTAATGAAAAGAGACGGCGAAGCTCGGATCTTGATTGACGAGACAAGTTTTTATTAAATTATGAATAGAGAACAAATAATGTTTTTCCCGAGACGATTAGATTTCTGCGACTAAATATTATCTCGAAGATTGAAACTAAACTGTGTGATGATTATTTCTCGATCGACGAACACACACACTTGTCGAATCCGCTATAAATCATTTTATATGCGCGTTTATTTTCACGCTGCGAATTCAACATCTGTGCAGGTATTTAACGCGAAACACGTCGCGGAAATAGCGTCTCATCAAATAGACATAGAACAAATTAGCTCGCAGGAGGGATGGATGGAGCAGGATCCGAAGGAGATTATTTTCGCGGTAAAAACCTGCATTCAGGAAGTAATGCAGAAATTAGCTGTACTCAATATGGAAGACAAAATCGTCACAGTAGGTATCACCAATCAGAGAGAAACCACGATAATGTGGGATGCGATTACGGGCGATCCGCTTTACAACGCCATAGGTGAGCAGAATCCTGAGCGATTTGCTTTACATTCGAAGAGACTCCGTTTTGAAAAATAATATTTAATGCGCGGTTGAGAGGTAAAACAAAAATTCTCGAGAGATGCCACTTATTCCAGTGTGGTCCGACATCAGAACCGACACGATGGTGGATCAGATTATAGCGAAGTTTCCGGATCAGAGTAAGAATCATCTGAAACCCATCTGCGGTCTACCCGTGAGTCCGTATTTCTCAGGTTTAAAAATACGCTGGTTGAAGAACAACGTGCCGGCTGTGAAAAAGGCGATTCGCGAGAGGCGGTGCAAAGTAGGCACCATGGACACATGGGTCGTTTGGGTACGTGTCACAGAAAAATTATCACGATCAAGTGTTAATGAGAATTCGCGGACATTACTCGCGTTTGAGTTGTTCAATTTTTTATATTACGTATCGATTAACACTTGTGTGTACAAAATGTTTACTCGCGCGTGCGGCGGTCGAGCCAATTAAGAACCTGTTGCAGAATTTAACGGGAGGCATACACGGTGGACTTTATATCACCGACGTAACGAACGCCTCGAGAACGATGTTAATGAACATAGAGACGCTCGCTTGGGATCTCACGTTGTGCAGGTACTTTGACATTCCCATGCAAATGCTGCCGGAGATCAGAAGCAGCTCGGAAATATACGGCAAAATTTCGATCAGTCCTCTGTCCGGCATTCCTATATCCGGTGTAAGTAAAATTCCGTGACGAAAATGTCGAATATAGAATATATATATCCACCCGTTTTATATGACACTTTTTTTCTTTCTACCTAGATCTTAGGAAATCAACAGTCCGCTTTAGTTGGGCAAAATTGTTTGAAGAGGGGACAGGCGAAAAACACTTACAGAAGCGGTTGCTTCTTACTGTGCAACACGGGACACACCGTACGTAATTTTTAGAGAATATCCGGGAATATAAAACAGATTGAGAAACAATCTTTGATTGCTTGACACTTTTTTGTTTTCTTTACAGAGAGTGCATTCTTCCCACGGATTGGTCACGACTGTCGCGTACCAGTTAGGTCCGAAGAGTCCACCTGTCTATGCGCTGGAAGGTTCAGTCGCGGTCGCAGGTGCAGCCATTAAATGGTTGCGGGACAACATGAAGCTCATAAAAGACGTTCACGAAAGCGAACATTTGGCGCAAAGTGTATTTAGCACGGGGGACGTTTACTTCGTGCCCGCTTTCACGGGATTATACGCGCCTTACTGGAGAAAAGATGCGAGAGGGTTGGTAATTTTTGGTAAAAAGTTTTCTGCGTGCAATTCGTTAAAACTCTAGCAAAATTGCAAAAGATAATATTTACGCACATACGAAATGTGTGTGTTTATACGTGATGTATATAGAAATGTTTGATTAAATCGAGGGATTTAAAAAAATAAATAAATAAATAATCTCTTTCTCAGAATAATTTGCGGGCTTACCGCATTCACCACCAAGCAACACATAATTAGAGCAGCCCTTGAAGCGGTCTGCTTCCAGACCAGAGATATTCTCGAGGCAATGCACAAAGATTGCGGATATCCGTTAACAAAGTTAAACGCAGACGGTATAATGTCGACTAATAATCTTCTTATGCAACTGCAAGCTGATTTGTGTGGCACGCCAGTGTGTGAGTATTATTGCTCGTGAATAACAGATATTTATATACGCATGAATTTTGCAATATAAGTTGGCTTAGTTACACATTAATTTGTATTCTATTTTCGCAAACACGTGCAGTTAGATCAATTGTGCCCGACATCACGGCTCTAGGCGTGGCAATGGCTGCAGGACACGCCAAAGGAATAGAGGTTTGGGATTTAGAAGGCGAAGAGGTGGAAACAGTACCAACCGATACTTTCCTGCCAACCACTACACCGGAAGGTACACACTTTTTTCTCTTCAAAACAAGCAATTTTTTAATCTCATTTTATTTAAGAGTATATCAGCGTACAATATGTTTTCCTTTGGTTCTTTAGAAAGAGACGCTAGATATAAGAAATGGAAAATGGCCGTGGAACGAAGTCTCGGTTGGGCGACGGTAAAGAAGTCTGATCAAATGACAGGTAAATACAAAAACAAGAAGTCTTTGTCTCCTGTTTCTTTTACAAAATTCTTTATGCAAAACTTCTCATGTGCGTACTTATTAATTTTGTTTCTTCCAGATGAGAGATTCTGCATTCTGGCGTCCATCCCTGCCAGTTGGTTCTTAATGACGAGCTTCATTCTGTTACAATTAAGTTCGTACATAGCAAACCGGTGACAACAAAGTAACATTATTAAAATGCAAGTTACTTTAGATGACAGGTAGTCCTGACTGCAGCTAAAAAAGACAGTCTAGCAAAGTGACTTATAGAAGAGTTTACTCTCTCGCGTACGTAACACGCGTACGAGCAAAAGTAACAAATTAGAAAATGACAGGAAAGATTGCGTTGGTGGAAATGGAACAATGTAACTCGGTTCGTCTTATCAACATTTTGTTCAGTATTCGAATACACGCATAATGTGCAGTAAAATGACACGCAAGCTAATACTGCAACTATAATGATAATTATTGATTTGAATTTTTTACTTTATTTTGTACATCTGTACATATATATATATGTATATTGAGGTTCGCGATACTTCGGCTTTATGGGCACACGTGTACTTGCATTTTTATAATTTTTATTTATTGCAGAATTGGATGCGATTTTGCACCGGCTTCGGCGTTTGTACGTGTGATCTTTTCTACTATTCGTTTTCTAATTTAGTTATTTTCATTACGCGTATAAAAAATTTAAGTTTAGAGATGATACTAACTCGATATTATGAACAAATGAGAAAAAGAACAGGCATAAACACCGAGGCCGATGACCCAAAGCACAAACTTGCATCAGCTCTGATTTAACAAAAATTGCATATATGTACAATTTTAAAATTACACATGTACATCATAAACATATAGATATTTTTTATTCATGCTTTTGTAATGTAAATTATATTCTTTTTATTTCTTATATTTTTTTCGAATAGGTATTATAACATATTTAAATATATTATAATATTCGAATACACATACACTGAGATAAATATGGTGGAATCTGTTGCAAAACAATAATAACGCGTGAAAACATTCTGATGACTTGTTTCTTGCATACATATAGAAAATACTGAACTTTTGCTCATTTCAAGTTTCACTAAAATTAGAATAACATGATATATAGTCGGACATTGATTATTTCATTGTTAATTCATTGTTAATTCATTGTTATTTATACACATACACATATAAATTCAATAATTTTAAAATATAAAATTTATATTTTTTTTACACACATTGCACCTTGCGTTCAAAGATATTCTCTTTAATTATGATAATTCATGAATTGTTAGTCAGACATTTACATGCTGTAATCGAGATTAACAGCGTTCCCGTCGTCTAAGTGACAGAAAAGTGAAACAACTATAGTATAAAATTAAAAAAAAAAAAAAGGAAAAAGAGACGAAATAAGTACGTCACTGTGTTAAACCAAAATATAATAAAAAAAAAAAGAAAAATTTGGCTGACGTTTTTTTCTCTTATTCCAAAAAGTCTTATTAAGTGTCAGTAGATGTTAAACGATGAAATGTTCAATTTGCCACGAAAAAAGAAACATCTCCGTTTATTTAAAAAACAATCGCGAAACTCAGCTGATTCAAATCATCAGCTGATTGGCGTACGCATGCGCACAAGAAAGAATCGCATGTTGCTGCAACAAATATTTTCACATTTACAAAATCTCTTTACGGCTATTCTGATTGGTTATACATATATTAGAGAAATAGAATTCAGTTCCGATAGAGGTCTCTACATTTGACCTTTGGAGCAGAAATTTTCGAATCAGACACATCGCATTTAAATATTCGCAGGTATGTAAGTCTGACAATTTTGCGGTTTTTTAGAAATCTGTAGTGCAGAAAGTTAATTTCATAAAATATTTTAAAAATAAAGACAGTATTCGATATTTTAAAACTTAATTAAAACAAAAAGTTTTTTTCTCTGAATATTTTTATTATATTATAGAATATTATTATTATTGAATACTTGCGTTAATATACAATTGCGCGCATTATGACCGCGAACCGTGAGCAGGGGAAAAACTATTTCTCTTTCATCTTACGCTCTCGTTTTATTTTAGCCGTCAGCTGTCGACCGATGATGGTGATTTGAAAGAGAAGACAAGCATAGAAGAGAAAAACCGCTCTTCTCCTCGGCTATTCGTGACTCGGGCACATTCAGATACACACGCGCGGTTTACGTACACGCAAAGAATTTTAATTCTGACTCTTACGCGACGTTAAGTAATATCCCTTTAGAGAAAACTGCGGCTCTTTTGCTCCGATTTTTTTTTTTTTTTTCACCGCGTTTTTATCTCGATATATTTTTTGACCTCCTGCAGAAATCACAAGTGTACGCACCCATCCTCTCGCGATTCAGCGTGTAGTATGTACCGTGCACTTCATTGAGACTTTTGAGAGCACGAAGGATGGTGGTGGCGGAGGAGAGGGAGAGAGAGAAAGAACACAGCGCCATCGTCAGCGATACCGAAACAACAGAGTCCATTGCATTGCGGCGCCGCGACAACTCACGGTCCGGTCTCGCTCGCGTAGCCCGTGACAGTGTCTGGTCGAGTTGCTTGCGGATGCTTGCGGAGTATTCGGCTTTGATCGTCGGCCGTGTTCACCAGCAAGGTAAATAGGATGTGGTATCGCGCGAGGTTCCGGTGCTGCATCCCGTGTCCGCGACTTCGCGAGGACGTGGTCGTGGTCGCGGCGGTCGCGTCCCGCTGAGATAGACGCGGTTGTGTGTTACGGAGCTTGTCCGTCGCTCCAGTGTGTGTGCGGGTTAACCTTTCTTTAAACACATCGTGAGAGAGCGAGTGTCGACCGCGCGCGCCAGGTAGGGTGTAAGGTGCCCATCTCAAGGGGAGAGTAGAAGAGAGATAGAAAGAAAGAGAGAGAGAGAGAGAGAGAGAGAGGGAGAGAAAGAGAAAGAAAGAAAAAAAACGAAGACGTGTGTCAAGAGTGCGTGGTGTGTGTGCGTGTTGTGCGTGCGTGCGTGTGTTTCTCGCGAGGGAAGGAAACCGAGAACGAGGAAGAAATCACGCGTGCATTAACATTACGCACGAGGGGCCCACACGGCATTCGCACGACATTCACGTCCGTCAAGATGTCGTCGTCCGGGCACAGCAGTCGCACTCGCACCGTTCACATAAGCACGATCCTTCAGAAGTTGCAGGGCCGCTTCGCGGACGCGATGACGCCTCCTAAGCTGTCGACCGACAAACGTACGCTCGACAAAACCTGGAAACTGATGGACAAGGTGGTGAAGCTGTGCCAACATCAAAAAATGAACCTGAAGAACTCGCCGCCGTTCATACTCGACATCCTGCCCGACACGTATCAGCGGCTGCGGCTCATCTACAGCAAGTACGAGGACCGGATGCAGGTGCTGCACAGTAACGAACACTTCTGCGTGTTCATCAACAACCTGATGCGTAAGTGCAAGCAGGCGATCAAGCTGTTCAAAGAGGGCAAGGAGAAGATGTTCGACGAGACGTCCCACTATAGACGAAATCTCACCAAGCTCAGTCTTGTGTTTAGCCACATGTTGTCCGAGCTGAAGGCTATATTCCCGAACGGCGTGTTCGCCGGTGATCAGTTTCGCATCACCAAGGCCGACGCGGCTGAATTCTGGAAGGAACGCTTCGGGAACAGGTATGTACTCAAATCCCGGTTCTTTCTTCAGTTCTATCACCGTAAGAATACCGTTCTGTGCAATGCAGCAACACTTTTGTCAGATTGTACGAAAAAAATTTTATAGGCTTTTTGTCACAGAATTTCGCATTCCAACGAAAAATTCGACGGTGTCGTCGTCCGAGTCGTCGTCGAGAAACGATGTATTTGTGCCACTTGGACTTTTGGAATGAAAAAAGTCTTCGCTTTTATAAGTAGCGGAAAAATTTATTCCCTGGCACATTTTGCTTTGAAACGTTCAGAATTCGCGCGAGAGAAGATTGTTAAAAGATCTATATTTGAGAGTCGAGAGAGAGAGAAGTGCGCTTCTTCTTCAGCATTGAAAAGTTGTCCCAGAACGAGCTTCTATCCAGTTTTCTCCCATCCGCCTCATTACTCCACCAACGTTATTTAGTCTTTTTACAGTAATTTTGGATATAAACACGTTATTTGAGTCTGGAAATGAGTGTGTGTGTGTGTGTGTGTGTTTGTAATCGTAAGATGCATGAAAAATGGGCCATTGCGGTGCTTGCTTGCTTGCCTTCTCGCGTACGTGTGCGCGTTATTGCGAGCGGTCTTTTACGTTGTTCAAAAAAACGATTGAAAATCTGAAAACTGACTTTACTTTCTTATTTTATTTCCGACGAACATTGTCAGGTTTCGCTCGAACTCGAGAGAGATCTGGCGCATTTTTCTCAGTTGCTGTTCGAAACTAATTTGCAAGAAAATTGCTTTGCAATCGACGTAGACACAAAACACGTATGCGGACTGAATTACTGGGTTTTTTTTTGCAAGATAATATATTTATTTTATCTCGACGTTTTTCAAGGAACGCGTTATCGCGATCGACTCACAGCCTCGAGAAGTCTTTACTTTCATTCATACAATCATTCATTCACTCCTCGTCAAGAGTAATAAGAAAAGTTCGTCGGCTTCCGTGAAAATAACGCCCGAAGATTGCTGAAATATATATAAGAATCTTCGTTCATCAAAGTTGCACAACAGAGAAAAGTTTTATCTTCAATAATTTATAAATATAAATCGTCGTTTTTTCTCTCTCTCTCTCTTTTCCCTTTTCGGCACGTATAAAGTTTTTGACAATTATAATAAGTTTAGATCCTGAGAGTTTGCTTGTGTGTGCGAGCGCCTTCTATCAAAGTTCAGGAAAGGTTCATCGACTTTCGTGGGAGTTTCTCCGGAGGACTTAAAGCCTTTCCTCCGTGATGATTACGTCAATGACGTTTCTTGACGTCTTCGTGCGCGCTGCAATCTTCCTGAGTCTTAAACTACAAAAGATTTAAAGATCTAATTTTCTCTCTCTCTCTCTCTCTTTCTCTAGCTCTCATATTGCGGGCATAGGTTGGCCTCTCTGAACACTTCTCGTCTCAACGAACGATATTGACGTGACGCCAGAGAGACCGTCGGACAGAAACCTTCGCGACGACGTGCGTCAGGTAGCACAGCATCCGAATAAACAATCTCTTCTTGCTTGAAATTAGAACAAATGAAAGAAGGCCGCGCAATAAAAACTTTGGCTTTTTTTGCGCAGTTTTCAAGCTCCGCGAGCTTTTTATATTGACGTTAACTTACTAGTTCCGAGTATTCGGTCGTCGTCGTCGGTAAAGATAAAAAATAGTAAAATTCTCAAAAACGTCATATCAGTAAAAATAAAAGAATTTCTCAATTAGGTCATGTCGAGGAGTATCCCTGTGTGTGTGTAGCTAACTTTTACCTAACTTTTCTCACTTCAACATTATCTAGTTGCGAATTGTCGTTTTTTCTTCTTCAAGTTTTCCTTCTTTTATTATTATTTTTTTTTTTTTTTTTTTATCACAGTTGCGAACATCTAGCTATTCGCACGTGGAGAGAGATTTCGTACGTGGGGAGACGTGCGTATAAAAGACAAATTGTAATGTAAAAGGGCGCGCGCGAAGCGTATCTCGCACGTGCGCACACCTAACCTAAACTCATACATACGCGAGAGAATGTGAGGAAGAGGAGGAGGAGGAGGAGGAGGAAGAGGAGGAAGGGAAGCCGCGCTATAGAGCGAGCGAACGAGCGAGTGAGACGACACCGGACGTCTATCGTTGATATTGACATATTATCGTGCACCGAAAAGCAGGACATGTCGGCTCGTGTGCAACCGTGGGCACACACTCTCACTCTCTCTCTCTCTCTCTCTCTCTCTCTCTATCTCGATAGAGAATGCGTTTTATCGACCGGAAGTCGCGTTGGACGAAGCGGCGCGTTCGCCGCCTGCACACGTGCGATGCGCAAGGTGAGTAATGTGTGTATCGGGAATTCGCGCGAGAAAAAGAAAGAAGGAGAAGGAAAAAAAACAGGAAGGAAAGAGCGTGAGAAGAGTGCGTGGGGTGATTGATAAGTATCCGAAACGAGACGGCATCAGAAACGGACGGACACGGGTTTCAGTATCGCGCGTTGACAAGTTTTATTCTCTGAAAAGAAACAAATGTCAAACTCTCTCTGGCGCGTTTCTATCGCGCGCCTAGTGTTTTGCGCGACAGCTCGTCGAAGTAAGTACGTGCCACCGTTTGCGGCACCGATGACTTCATTGTCGCTCGAACGTCCTTGTTTTTTTTCACCGAGCCGTTTTTTCTTTTTTTTCGCATATTTTCGAAAAACAAAAATGGAAATCGGAGGCGAATAAGACGGATGAGGCAGCAATTCGAAGTCCAAAACGCGCAAAACTGGTGCGTTGTCAAAAATCACTCAGAGCGTTCGCTTTTGGCGGAGACTACTGTCGCACTACGCGCTCGTTAACGAGCCGGCCGTTTGACATTTGTCCGTAGAACGAAACTTATAAAACGCGAACAACGCGACACTACTACTGTCGTTTCGGATACTTGTCAATCGCTTCTTTGTTTGTTCCAAAATATCCATGTGGCAATGACGTTGGTTTTCTTCGATCTGCGAGACGCGGACGCGACCTGCAGATGAGAAAAAAGTGAAACCATGTTCTACCTACATCTCTCTCCTACGTCTCTTATCCTGTGAATATTTTATTCACACCTTTTACATCCTTGAGTTTCTTTATTATTTTTTAAACAGGCAACCGTCAATTTTTCTCTGTCAGAACTGTCAAACGTCATAGTTGTATGATTTATGACACTTATATATTTCCTGCCGCTTTGCGGATATTTCTGTTATTTACAAAACGGAGCGAAACTGAAAATATCCGTGAAATTTATTCGAATTTCAATAGCCGCCTCTCACAGCAAAATGCTGTTTTTGCAATTTTCTCACCTTAACAGAACTTTTCTCGAGGATCCTTGACAGATCTCTTATGAAGATAACTCTATCAAATAAAATCAAATAAAAAGAAAAAACGCGTTGGCGTTCTTCCGCTGAAAACGTGGCCAAGGATCGTTTCTCCGGAGGGATTAATTTTTTCGATATTTTCGTCGAGACTAACTTAAAAAATAAAACACTTCTCTCCGCGAAGAGGAGACGCTGTAATAATAAATGTACACGTAAGAGTCGTGTGTGTCTCGGTGTGGCAGAGCGTCGGTGTATATATCGCTGTCGAAAAGCCAAGGCGGATCGTTGCCGCGCGCTCTCTTCTCTGACGTCAATCGCGTGTGCTTGACCCGCGACGTCGCGATTTAATGCATTCGGCGGTAATAAACGAAGAATGCTCTATCCGGTTGGACTCGCATTTGCTCTCGTCGGCGGTGACACACGCATGAGACCGTCGCTCGCACAAACGCCCCTATAACCCTCTCGTGTCGCGTTTGAAACGGTAAACGCGCACACACTCACTCACTCACTCTCTCTCTATCTCTTCTGCGTCGCGTGGTGTACGAACATCGCGCGAGCCGAGCAAATAGCAGATACCGCGCTGTTATTAGCGTAAAACAACTTCCGGTGTAACGATTCCGTCCTCGACGGCGCGTCCAGCCGTGTAAATCGCCGCGCGACGTCCGGCACACGAAGAGAGAGAGAGAGAGAGAGAGAAACCGTTACTTATTACTACCATCGCCGCGTTTCAACGTTTGTTATTGCGGCCGCGGATATCCGAAGATAAACAAGGAAGTCGTAGGAAACGCACGCGTCTGGACTCTATCTGCGTTCTTTCCGCGACGCAAATTCGCGCGCGTTATGCGCAGCAAGAGTCCTCGGATATACCGCGCGATATTTGCGGCTCCCTCTTCCTTCTCGCTATTCTCGTTACACATCCGCATATCGATGATCTCGAGAAGAATATCACTGTGGTGATTATTTTCCACGTTGTTCAATTTCTTTGCGTTTTTTTTTCCCCTATCCGAAGGAAAATGAGCTTACGGGAAGGCGCGCGATATTCGCGCGCTGATATCGGGCATAACTCACACCTTGCGAAATTCCTCTACTTCCGGTGTACGTGCCGCGCTACATCCGGCGACCTTGTCCGCCCGCGCGCGCGAGAATCGTCCCCGATACAATATCGACCGCGTTATCGTCACCGCGGACGCGCTCTTTCGGAATTAATGGGAAAATGTCGCGCGAGAGAGCCGTCTCGGCTTTTGTACAGCGGCCGCGTGGCGACGATTTGTATGTGTCAGGGTGATATAAATATATATATATATATATATATATTGTGTGTGTGTGTGTGTAAACGGAGCGAGCGGGTCGAGTCGATTCATGAATGACCGCGGCGCGCGTCGCGTATTTTGTACACGCGCTCGACAAAACGACGAGCGTGTCCAACTTCGGACATGCGCGTCCCACCGTGGACGATTGAAACCTTTCATTCGCGGACGCGCGCGCAGATTAATTCACAAAAAGTGCGAGATACTCCCATAAGATTTGCTCGATACATACATTTTTTTTTTAATTTGTTAAATTCGCGCGCGAGAAAACAACGCTCGTTACCGGTGCGATCACTCGCGCGTTTTTTTTTCTTCCTTATTAGATGCAGACATCGCGCTCTCGGCGTTTCACACACGTGTGTATTTATGTATAAGATGCGGGCGATTGCAGAGCGATTAGTATGCGGTGGTGGTGGTGGTGGTGGTGGCGAGTCGCTCCGATTACGCCGATGCGCGAACCTTCAGTTTCCGGTCAAATGATCCGCGAACATCCGGTCCCGGTTGTACACACAATGTCGGTTCTCTTTTAAGCCCCGTGAGCAACGCGGTGACAGTGTCGTAACTAACCGGGCATGCCCCCGGATCGGGCACGAAGTTTAATCTTCCGGTGGCTAAATAAGGTCTGACAGGAAAACATCATTCGTAATTAAACGCGGTTCCACATGAATCCCGATAATCTTCATCACCGGATCTGACAGTCATCAACAGAGAGAAAGAGATAGAGAGAGAAAGAGAGAGAACGCGGATTAAAATAAACATTTGAATTATATAACACATTCTTATCCAATTTATTTCATGCGAAAATATCTTTTTGAAGCATCTCGCTATTATGTTTTTCTTCTCTTTTGCGCAATAAAATAGATATAAATGACATAATTAAGCGTAGGAACGTGGGAAGAGAGCGGTTGTGTACACAAAAGAGATGCAATTAGTAAAGAGGATCCGGGAATCCGATAAAAAAAAAAAAAAAAAAAAAAAAGAAACAAATAACATGCGGGTTACAAGGACCGGACTCGCGCGCAACAGCGCGACGGCGGGTCCGATCGTTCGCGTGTGAATACGCTCGGACCGCGAGCACGGTGGGCCCTGTCACGCGATCACACAACATGCGTGTACCGACGTTACACGCGCGTCGAAAGGCAGCCGGGTCCGTCCCCCATTCGCGACGGCCGCCGCCGCCACCGCCGCCGCAGCCGCTGCCGCTGCCGCCGTCGCCGCCGGTGAGTTAAGCTCACATCCGCACGTGAGTCGAAGCGGAAGGAAGGGGACGTGACGTCGCGATTAAGGCGAATTAAACGAGGCGAATTGCATGAATCGGCGAGCCCGGCGCGCGGAGGAGGAGCCCGGGAGCCTCGGCCCACGTTTATCGGAAGATTTCGTCCTGCCCGCGAGAGAGATCGCGAGAGCTCATTATCGCACAAAAAAATCAGAGAGACCGCGCGCCGATAACCACATCATACCTCCCCCTCCCCCCCCCGTCCAGTCTCATTTCTGGTTCATCCGGTTAACACTCGGAGATAGTTTCAGAAGAGAACGTCACAGATAGGCCGTGTTTTCACAAATATTCGAATACTTAGTACATGATGAGATACACGTACGGAAGTGATGATTCATCGCACAGTTTGTTTTGTTTTTTTTTTTTTTTTTTTTTTTTTTCACAGGGTTTTTTCACGCTGACTCGGCGCAAGCCTAGATAAGATATCTCGGATATATAGTTCCTTGATTTTCAGCGAGAAATTTCCTTCCCTCCGAGCGCGATAATTTCAACCAACCGCATCCGGACCCGCAACCTCTGAATTTGTAGAGTTGTAGCGCCGTCGTGACGAAGACGTGTAGATACTTTTTTACGAGGGAGGAAAGAAAAAGTCAATTCACCGGGTGTAAAACCTGTTAGCGACGGCATTTGCATCGGAAATGTCAGACCGGAAATATCTCGGGAGGGGAGGGAAGGGAGGAAAAGCGCTGTTCGATAGAATGCCAATACTGCAATTTTTAACGAGAACGTCGCCGTCGTTGTCGTCGTCGTCGTCGTCGCCGCCGTCGCCGTCGTCGTCGAGACACGTCGTTCGTGTGTTGGGTGTTCATACGAGCATGATGCAGAACCTTTTGAACGGACGCAACATCCTTGAAATGTAATTCCAGCCGTTCCACTGACATTTTCCGCGGATGTGTATTTTTGTACTGTACATTGCGTAATTGCATCTGGACGCGGGGGTCTCTCTTACGCGAGAGGGACGCTGTCGTCGTCGTCGTCGTCGTCGTCGTCGCCGAGGAGAGAGAGGGGAAGATCGAGGAAAGGCTCACACATACGTCAACGTGGGCGGAAAAAGGGTTAAAGTTGAAATTAGACGCCTTTGACGGCTGAACTTTGCTGATAACCGTTCGCACGGGACAATGGCGCGCGTATGTGTGTGTGTGTGTGTGCGCGTGCGTGCGTGACGTTCCTGGAAGCAGGTGCGTCCTCCGTGAAGCGGAGCGTATATAACGTACCGTTAATATGTTGACAACGTCAACATTAGTCCTTGAGGACTATCACAAATGACACAATTCAGGGGTAACTCTACGTCATCGCTATCGATCACCCCCCTTACGTCCTTTGCTTCGGTGAAAAGACGAGCAAAGGGAAATTTTCTTCTGGGTTGATGAAGATGACGAAGCGTCATTTTCCCGGTTTTTTACGTCCTCATTGTCTCCCGTTTCGTCGTCGGAAGTCAGGGATTGGCGCTTCGCATTGTTCCTCATTTTATCGTTCGTTTTCTCGTGAACGGAAGAATAGAATATGCGGGTTCCTTGAAAAGCTATGGAATTTCTCATATTCAAATGTGGTTGTTAACACATTCGACATTTTAGTTGCCAAATGGCACGTCTAGGTTGAGGATCGAAGAGACGATCTAGGAATTTCGTAACCGAGAAAAAAAATGCTCGTAGCTGACATTTCTTCGAAAACGAGGTAGTTATTTCTGGTGGTGTGATTTAGTTGCTTCAATTTATGCAAATCTCTTTAGAGTCATCAAAAAATGTTCTTTTTGAGATGTATACGTATATATCTCTTTTTAACTTTTACTTGAACCAGTTTTTTTTTCTTTTTTTCTCTAAAAATCAATAGTTGAAGAGGAAATTAATCTAGCTACGTTTTTACAGACCTCACCCTGTGCATGGGCTTGGCAGCCTCCGGTCTTGTCTGTAGTTTCTCAACCTTCAAAGGTCTCCCCAGTGACATATTGAGAGCTACCGCTGAGCCGTATTTCCCATAAATACTCGACGTGTATCACGTTATATTATCTCGTTTACGTGACTCCGCATCGGGGTACAGTAATATACCGAGACGAGAGAAATTGTTCGCAGATCTTAAATTTTTACCCTAGGAAGACAGTCGTCACGATAAAATAGAAACACGCCTTGTGTGTGTGTGTGTGTGAAAATTTTATATATAATCAAACGGATAAAATAATGCGCTACTGTACAGAAAAAATTCCATCCTGTACAGAATATTATCGATATAATAATTCTACTCTGTACAGAATACTTTTTATTGCAATAATTTCAAAGAGATTAATTTCCTACAAGCATCTTGTAAAAATCTTCTCTCTGTCTATACGCATTTCGCGTGAACGTAATTAATAATAGAGAAATCGATAAGATCATTTATTTTATTTACTTTTTGAAATCGCATTATTCGTTAGAGTAGATGTTTTAATTTATAAGATACGAACGATAAGTATCAAAGGACAAAAAAATGCTGTTCCTACGCGATGTCATGAGAGATATCTTTCTCGCAACGTGTCAGACGTCACGTTGGAAGAGACGACGACGACGACGACGACGTCGTCGACGTCGGAAAAGCGATGTTCTATGAATGGAGGCGAGCCTCGGATCAATCGGCAAGCAAGGACGACTAATTATAGCGTTAGTATCTTTATCTTTCTCTCTCTTTCTCTCTCTCTCTCAACTTCGTTTTGTTCATACACCGTCCGCACTCACACACGTGCGCGGTACACTTGTGTCTACTACGGAGCGCACAGAGTACGTTGAGAGAGAGATTATGATCCGACGATGGAGGACATGACCCATTTTGATCGTCGCAAGCTCGCTTGGGGGATGCGAATTCAGGACGGAGAGAACGTGCGTCACGCTTACCCTTGTCCTGCTGTCGACACCTGGCATCGCGCACAGCGTCTACTAACAAATTACCGCAAGAGTGTGCATGTATAACACGTACACACGGATTAGATACGAGCGAGTTTACGTCGAAAATGAAGCTGATAAAATCTGCTGAAAATATAAATTTTGTTTTCTTTCCATCGTACGTGACACTTGCGGGAATTACTGTATTAGCACGTATTTGACTTAAGGAACTTAAAAACGAAATAGAAGATGCGTTTGAAATCGGTTGGAAAATCCACCCCGATGGGTGTGATGACACACTTTGCTAATTGGGACAATTATGGGATCAATAAACAGGGAGAGAGGACAAAATACATAGATATATGTATAGTCGCATCTCTTGAATAAAACGCTGAAAGAAAATTTCACACTGACAAACGAGGCGTTCGTGTATAATATTTCCCGGAGTGCTCGAATGATAAATTGGCCCGCGCGCTCGTGTGACAATCGTCATGCACAATACGGGAACGTTTAAAACGGCACAATTAAGCTAAAAGTGTTGCCGCCGGTGACACCGTAAACGGACAAGGTCGCGAACTAACGTAAACGCCGCGTATGAAAGTGACCGACGCGCTAATTATCGCGACGAAAGAGAGTGGGCGTGAATATATATACGCGCGAGTGAAATTACATTCATACACGTCGCGTACTATTGTGGAAGTTGTCGAACAAAAGCAGCAGCTACATCCGGCAGGATGTACGTTTCAGCTCCGAAGCGAAGTTTCCGAATTAACTTATAGTAATTCCACGCCTCTCTTGAGCGCGTTATTTCAATTAAAATACATTATCGATTCCCCCAACTCTCTCATGATTTTCATATCATGTATCTGCCGTTGTGTAATTTTTTTAATTTGAAATAAGAGAAGTGAACTTTTATATAATTTAATTGCAGTATTTAATATTGCAATATTCGAAAATTTTCTAGAGATTAAGAAATCTTTGAATAAAAAGACATTTAATTTAGACAAAAATTTAGCCAAAGAATCAAACAAACATGTTCACCTGATAAACAGATTTATTTTTTCTTCTACCATTGTAGTAGAACAAATTTCTGCGTGTGTGATGCAAAGTAGATATACAAGATACTTCTGCGTGTGGCTTCGCCATCACTTATACATCTTACAATTAGTGCCTTCATGACTGCAAAAGCAACATACGTATCAGAATTAAAATAAATATTAGTAGAACATTGTTGACGCTGATGTGAAATTTTTGCTTCAAGACATTGAAATTAACAGAGATCAATCTATCAAATTAAGTGATTTAATACAATGAAACAACAGCGTCTAACCATTTATTTATGTACTCACACAGTCACATTACCCATGTACGAAAAACTATGCGCACAATTATATATTAATTTTAGAAAAATGTATATAAAGAAAAACGGGAAAAGTGACTTAAGAAGTGATTTAAAAGTATTTCTCGAGGGATCCTTTTAGCTTGTGCGGATCCACATTAGGACCGTGACGTTCAACGACCTTGCCCTCTTTATCCACGATAAATTTGGTAAAGTTCCATTTTATAAAGCTACCCAATATGCCGCCCTGTTCTTTCTTCAGATACGCCCACAGCGGATGCGTGTTATCTCCGTTTACGTCAATTTTCTCGAACAAGTCAAATTTTACCTGTAAGAATCAAATACGACCGCTTAAAATCGTTGAAAGAAAAAGACAAATTATTTACGTCCTATCGTGAAACTTGAACTTACTTTCTGACGATCGGCGAAACTGCAAATCTCCTCGCTGTTGCCTGGTTCTTGTCCGTTGAACTGGTTGCAGGGAAATGCCAGAATTCGTAGTCCTGTCAGGCACGGGAAAAAAGAAATATTTAAACACGTTGCTCCAAATTGTTCGAAGAAAACTTTCGCTCTGTAAATAAAAATTTACCTTTGGATTCAGCGTATTCGTCGTATAATTCGTTCAGTTCCTTGTAATTCGTCGCCGTGAGACCGCATTTCGAAGCAACATTCACGATCAAGCACACGTGGCCTTTGTATCTGAAAAAAAAAAAACAATCGTTATTATTACTTTTGCTTTTCGTCATCAGTTTTCGCATCACGATACGTGTCGAGACTGCGCTTACTTGGACAATGGTATCTCCTCCCCTTTGATAGAATTCGCCGTGAAATCGTAAATGGACGTGGCCGACTTGTAATCTTTGTTTCCGCTCATCGCTGTTGCTGCAACTGCAATTGCGAGCGTTAAAATCTCGAAATAAACTAAATGGAAAATTCTATATTTGTCGCGCGCGCGCAGGAAAGTTAGAAAAGTCATTCATTCTACGAGTTTTGAAAGTGTTAATTCGATATCATCTCGCTTTACGCTTTGACGTTTCGATGGCATTCAGTTTTTGCGAACGCCTACATTAATCAATGTAGGTGATCACTTGAGATCACAAAGGTAAACAACAAGTGTTCTCCGAACTTTTTACGCGAGTGTGTTCGAGCAAACTGTGCGATGTTAAAACACATTAAAACAACATAACGATCAAACAGTGACTTGTGTAATTACGTTAAAAAACAAAAACAAAAAGCGAGATCGATTATTTACAAATTGACGGATTAAATGCTTATCGCTAATTGGGAAGTGACGACGCTAATGTGAGGAAGTGATCAATCGGGACAATTTTGTCAAATTACGTGCCTGCGAAATTTCGGACTAAGTGCACAAGTCCGGTGGATAGCGTGAATTTTATTACGCGCATTTCCGGCGTGTACCGGCGGGACTCCGCTCCTGAAACTGCAGCGATATACTATATGTATACAAAGAAAAACAGTATACATTCATACTGTACATACATTCGTTCTCTACACAAAGACGAATTCTATACATAGGATTATATAAAACAATGTTATATAATGTGTGGGCATATACACGAGGTTCAGGAAATCGAAACCGCAATGAAAAATTCACCACCACCATCGCCATTACCCCCGATTGCTCGGAATCGTCCATTGTTATTAACTTGAGTACGTCCAAACTAAATTTCTGTTTTGCAACACAACTTAGACGACGGTGGTAAAAGAAAGCGGCGAACAATAAGATCAATGATAATCTTGGAAAACACTCGTTGGGTTTTTTATTGTTCGTTGACGCAACTCTCGAGCGTCAAGAGACACGATCGAGTGTCGGCGCCAATAAGATGAAAACGATTATAGTTTGTGTGCGAACTATGTAACACTTATACGCTACAGTCGGAGAAGATAATAATCACACCTGACGCAAACCGCGATCGAACGAGACCGCAATCGATTTTTAGCGACTTAAAGCGTTTACAAACAAATCGTAAAAAAAAACGTTGAAAGTTCTAGCGACTACAATTACTACGTAACGAGAGAAAGAGATGTAAGGTGAAAAAATAGAGCGCGTTAGATAAATATTTGTGTCGCGTTCAAACGACTTACAAATGAATATTTCTCTGTGTCTTTTTTAAGTCGATGAGTTTAGATTAGACCGCAACGGTTATTGATAACATTTGTCGATGGTTTGTACATGTTATCTCGTTTGTTTGTTTGATGTGGTCAACAAAATGATACGAAATTATTTTTAGCTCTGCTGTCAATGTTTTGTCGACGCCGATTATATTTATATATAAACCAAACTTTTTACATTATATATATATATATATATATATATTTAGTTATTTGTTTATTTTCTAAATTTCCAATAATCACAGTGCTATTGAAGTATCTTTGATTATCTTTGATTTTCTTATTTAATATGTCGGAATCGCACAATTCTCTTCTTCTCTTCCTCAATGAATAGTCAAATACAAGGTGTATATATATATCTGGAATAATGAGGTGTGTGTAAGCTCTTGTGCAATATGTACGTCTCTCGTGCGCCGATCTAACCTCTCGCGGTGAGAGATCCGCGAAGATCAGCCGGCTCCCCGTCTCATGAAATCTCTGCGCAACTGCGTGTCTAACGACGAATTCGATTGGATGCACTAGTGCGCACTGAGTGCGTCTTCTTTCAATGTGTTGTAGAATATTTCAGTGTTGGTATTTGACTAACACTGAAAGAGGACGCACTCAGTGCGCACTAGTGCATCCAATCGAATTCGTCGTAAGCGACAACAAGAGACACGTCCCGGTTTGGTTGCAAAGAGATTTCTTTTTTCCGGCGTTTTTTTACAAAATGCGTCTGTGCATTCGCACGTTTGCTCGTGTCATTAAAACAAAACGGTTTGTCTTACCGTTAAAAATGTGTGTGCACGTATTCCGCCGATCGCACCTCGAGGAAATCTCCGAACGCCGTGAGTTGTTGTCTCGTACTGCTAGTCATTCCGCATCCGCGAAGCGACCTTTGACGCGCACGCGCGGTACAATCTTGCACAAGTGTCAGACTTTCGCAGTGACGTACCTTCGAGGAACTTCGAGCGGCACCCCGGGCGCATCTCGTTCGAGGAAAAACAAACTCGACTCGTGAAATTTTTGCGCGACAAAATCTGAGAATAACAGATTCCTAAATTCGCGACAATCATCTTTAATGACTTGAATTCTCCGACAACTTTGTTTAAGAATTGTTAAAATCAGATTTTTAGAATTTTTCTCGCACAAACTGTCGAGAAAGAGATCGGATTTTTTTTTTATTATCGTCGAGCAAAATGTTTCATATTTTTAATATTGTTTCATCTTTTTTGTTTTTTTTTTTTCAGTACACTGGTGTCATGGAGGGCGTTCAGATACGAATTGAACAAAGTTCATCCGATCAGTTCGGGACTGCAGGCAATGGCACTGAAATCCACGATAGATCTGACTTGTAACGATTACATTTCCAACTTCGAATTTGACGTGTTTACAAGGTAAACGAGAAATTTTTGCGGCAAATGAATTAATTTTTAGGATCGTTTATAATTTTACTCGTGATTTATTCGGTATACGTTTCAATCGCGATGATGATCGCAATTGTGTTCAAGATTGTTTCAACCATGGTCGACCCTCTTGCGCAACTGGAAAATTCTGGCTGTGACGCATCCCGGCTACGTGGCTTTTCTCACTTACGACGAGGTGAAAGCGCGTTTACAAAAATATTGCATCACCAAACCCGGGAGTTACGTATTTCGATTAAGTTGCACGAGGCTGGGACAATGGGCAATTGGCTACGTCACGTCTGACGGTGATATCCTTCAAACTATACCGCACAACAAAAGTCTGTGCCAAGCTTTACTGGACGGCTATCGGGAAGGCTTGTGAGTGTTATATTTTTTATGTGAAAAAAAAAAAACAAACTTTGTTCTATTTATGTACGTCACGGAGGATCGGATTCAGAAATCTCAATAACAAGTTTCAAAAATTTTGCAGCTACCTGTATCCAGACGGTCGAAATATAAATCCAGATTTGACATGGGCCGTACAACCAACGCCGGAGGAGCACATAAAGGTGACGGCGGAGCAGTACGAATTGTATTGCGAGATGGGTAGCACATTCCAGCTGTGTAAAATCTGCGCCGAGCACGATAAGGACGTGAGGATAGAACCTTGCGGACATCTGCTCTGCACGCCGTGTCTCACATCTTGGCAGGTAGCAGTATATAATCTTGCGCGTTAAATGAACTATTCTCAATTCAATAAATCACACATCGGTCGGGGAACTGGTTCTTTTATTTTACAAAATTTGTGCAAAAAAAAAAAAAGTCACGCAAGAACGCGAAGTATTTTAATGTATGTCCGACCGTCTGCTTGCAGGATTCCGAAGGACAGGGTTGTCCGTTTTGTCGAGCCGAGATTAAAGGCACCGAGCAGATCGTCGTGGATCCGTTTGATCCGCGAAGAACGCACAAACCCGGAGCGGTTTCGGCGTCGGTTAGCAACGCGTCGACCCCTACGCGGGATCTCGACCCCGACACCGAGGTATCCGACTAGGAATAGCATCCACCTTCATTATTAAATGTGTTCTATGTATAACAACATCCCCCCCGCAGTATGCCTCATTCTTGAGAATGTCTCATACATTTCATGAGATCTCGCGGTTTACCAACGGCCATACACACACGTGTCACATGTCATTTCGCGTAAGTCTGTCGTTTCACGACTGTAAAGCTGTATCCCGTGGAGAGAGGCAGGTACGCAGTAGTTTGTATAGTCACGTAAATGTATCGGAGAAGCTACTGCAATCGATTACGGGACCAAGATTTTAACCAAATCGCAGAACCGTGGTTCTGTAGAGTTCGTTGTCACTTACTGTATGTGTTTTATTTTTTATTTTTTTTTTTTTATTTTTTTTTTTGTTTGCATCAAATGATTAATAATCGGCGAGAGATCAGTCGCTCGATCGGTTAGTCGATCGATCGGTCGATTATCTCTGTCTCCATCGCGAATTTTCACGAACTAACATATTATTGAAATTGTTTATGTCGCATAATTACATATTTCGCATCGATTATACGAGTGCTTTCAGGTAAGATTCGCTTTTCTTGCATTTCAGTAAAAATATTTATGATTCGGCGGCTTATTGTATGACCCATTGTCGCTGTCACTATGACCACGCGCACACACGTATATATAGTTTTCGAACAAGATAGCCTTCTTAGATAATTCATTCAACGGTCTAAAGATTAAAGTTTGATAAGGAATTTTATCGAATTTAGATGTTGTAATCTAAAAAAAAAAGAAAAAAAAGCGTTAAAGAGAAAAAACGTTATCTAGCGAAAGAATTTATAATTAAGCAAGTGGGCTCGCATCAATCAGCCACAATGTGGGTTCATCACATTTATTTATCTACTAACAAAACAAACGCTACACTCTCGATTCACAGAATTCATAATGCATGTGCACACATACACACATGCGTAGTTATTAAAAGCGCTCTTTTTTAAAGTTATGTGCATATATAAAAGACTTTTTAATGCCTGAAAGAGATATTTGCGTGTATTATTTATACACACATACGATTATCTTATTTATAGACATATTAATGTGGACTAATGTGTCTTGTAGTTAAATTGATTTATAGAAGAAAATTTCAAAAAAAAATTTAATATATATATATGTGTATATATATGTACACATTGAAGTTATATATATATATATGTATATATATATATATATATATATATATACTGAAGTATATATATATACTGAAGTTTTATTTAACCAATACTGTAACTTGTTGTTTTGCTTTTCTCGATTCACATTGCAAAGTGAATGAAAACACGTATTTTAAACGCCAATACGAGATGTTGGATATTAATACACGATATATATTATTATTTATATGCGCGCGCGCGTATTATTTAAAATTATTAAGTATTGAAATAGTATTTTATATCGTAAACAACAATTTATTAATCCACTTCGCATATCCATCACATGTTACATTCGTTCGTATTATTCCTCTCGTTAACGATCGAGATTCATTCAAAAACATTTGCACTTGCAAGTATTGTGATAAACGAGTGATTATTTTCGAGAAATAATAATAACACAGCTACGATTCAAAGATAAAAAAAAAAAAAAAAAAAAAATTAAAAAAAGAGAAGAAGAAGAAGAAGACGTATACGTATATAAAAACGTTCCCTTATATTTATTAAGACTCCAAATGCGTAAGCGTTTACGAATAAGAGGAAGAAACATGCGACGCGATCCTGGCAGAGTAGCGTGAACAGCGGACTCGAAAGGAACCCGTACCACTCTATCGTTATGTACATCCCGTTAAACGAATGTATTGTGTACCTGTTGGCGGTAGACGAGAATGTGTAATGTCACGTTAATGTCATATAATCGATATAGAAACGTCTCAGACCTCTCTATCACTTTTTCTCTTTTAAAGTATTAATTTATTATTTATTCTGTATTACTCTCTGTATTTTTGTGAAGAAAAAAAGGTTTTTGACATTAGTCGTCGCACCGAGTGTCTAATGCATATGGTATTGTACGTACGTTTTTGATGCAAGACACATACACATACACACACACACACGTACACGTACACGTAAATATATACACCTTGTAAAGTTTGTACGCATAATGCATGCAACTTTAATTCAGGCGGTATGAGCAACGATCGATTCTCTTAGCACAATTTTATTGGCGGATCGTCGATTTTAGTCTTTGTTATTAAGCTTTATCGGCAATTCACATCGAATGCGTTTCTATTACGCGTAGCTATTAGCGATTGGATTAAAACAACGAGAGAAAAGCGTGTGCGTCGCGCGCGTTAGACCGGACTTATACTTTTTCGTAACTTTAGCGTGCGATTGAGGTAGCGAGTATTACTTATTCATTGTAAAATATTAGAGAGACGTCAGAGAGGAAATAATACTTTTTTTTTTTTTTAATAAAATTGTATTGTCATTACACTTCGAGAGAGTTACTTTTTTTTATATATATGTATATTTATGCGTAAAACGCAAAACAAAAAAAACCGTCCCCCTTTTGCTGGATTCTAGTTTTTAATTATGCGCTACTTTTTTGTCTGTCTCTCTATATCGTTATTTTTTTTTTTTTTTCCAGCAACAGGGAAACTTGTTTCAAAAGAAACAAGAGAGCGAGAAAATGTTATCTTGTTATATCATTCGCATGTGATCATTTTTTACTTTTTGTTTCATAACGTTGTCCACCCTGGGGTCATATTGCTCTATCTGCTGCATGATCCAAACTAATTCGGTAAAAATTTATTTATATATGTACACACGTTCGATGGAGGGAGTCGCATGTGTGACCAACGTCGCAGGTAAGTGACAATAAAAAAAAAAAAAAAAAAAAAAAAATGCATTTACCGTTACGCTTTTACGCTTTTGTAATTACGCTCGAATCAATCGCGACGATTATACTCGCATTTGGTTGACGACGAATCAGATGTGCACACATAAGAAGATCAACGGCACGATTTCGACGTTTCCGCTTCGTTTGTAATAAAACAGAAACACAGTCGAACGTGTTTGTCCAACAGCTCCCTTTTGACAGCGATTTTATGATTTTTTTTTTTTCTCACTCACTGTTGCACCGAAATGACTCTTCTGCGATTGAGGTTGGTCTAATCAAGTTTTTTTTTTCTTTCTTTTACTACACACGCGTGTCGATTTTTTTTTTTTTTTTTTTTGTTCTTTCTTTTTATCGCGTTGACTCTCGCGACAACACCAAAAGATTTCTCATATTAGGTCCGTAGACACTTGTCTTCCTGTCGTAAATAAACAGTTGTTTTTTTTTTTTTTNTAAAAGATCAAGGACAGGCGATTCAAACGCTGACATTTGCACACAGTATACATAGACGATCGCTACAGCTTCAAAGCAGATGATTCATCGCTTTATTTGCTTCGAAGACCTCTTGAGGAAGATTTAACCAGGAAATCACATTGCGGAGAATAATAATGCGTATCATCCCGTGGTTCGAAGCGAAGCAGACGGTATTGTTGGTCATTTCTCTTACAGAAACTTCATTTTGATTGTGGATTGTGTGTGTCACATGCTTTTATATCCTTTCATATATTTTTTTTTACATGAAAAAAAAAAAAGTCATCGTTCTAAATGAGAATACTTAGTCTATTGCTGAAAAGGTAACTATTTAAACTACGATTATACCAGATATATAATATTTTTTCATCATAGCAAAATATAAACATTTTTTAAGAGCATTCCAATATATATTTATGCAAGTAAAATTCAAATATTTTTGTCTCAGATTTCAAATGTTTCTAAAGCATCTTTCTCTTATGTGACGTAAGCCAGAATTAACTCTTCTTTCGTCTATTTCTGATGTTTTAGGACATAATGGAAGAGTGCAATGGTAATTGCGGGTTTATATGCGACGATTCCGATGAGGAAGATGATTCTAGTCCCACGAATTCGCCAGTGATACCGCGGAGGATCGTTCCGAGTCCGCCGTTACCACCGAGAAGACCCTCGCCGTCTCCAACGCCGAACAATCATCTCAGAAACGGACGTCACTTGACGGTGCCGAAGGAAAACGCTCCGCCGCCACCAGCGGTCATATTTAATTATGCCGACAACAATCTACAAAGTAGTAAAGGTATAGCTTCTGAAAATGTTTATCTTGTAATTATACGAAGATAAGAAGATAAAACTTTTACAGTAATTACAATTAATATAGAAGCGAGATACGACATGCTACATCGCGCGACGTCGCCAGTTCCACCGATACCGCCCGCGCCGTCGACGGCAATAGTGAGGTCTTCTCACGTACGTCGGCCTCACGGGAATCACGCGAGCACTCCGCAGCGACAACCGCAGCCACCGCCGACGTTGCCGGAAAAGACGTATCGTGCCATAGCGACGAGCTCGATGACGAGTCAGACGACCGGCGAGACGAGCAACAATGTGCCACCTGTGCCGCCACCTTTGTCAGCGCCGCGACCGCCGAAGACTTTGAAAGACGCTCGTCAAGATCATCATTACGAAAACACGATTGTGATCTGCGGCACAGGTCAGCACGTTGTTAAGAATATCAACTTGGAGGCGAACAGAGCTCGCTTTACAGCACTGATGAAGGCGAGGGACGATCCCGGAGGTGGTGGCGCAATCACCAAATCGTCAGAGTCGGCGGCGTACGAAAACATTAACGTCGAGCATATAACAAAACTGACGGCGCTCGGTTTCACCCAGGACAACGTGATCAAGGCGCTCGGTATCACCAGAAACGATCTCGAGATGGCATGCGACATATTGCACGAATTCGCCCCGAAATCCTCCTGACCAGGTACACAGATAAAGTGTTTAAAAATATGTCAATGATAAATATATTTGTGTGTTTTTTTTTTTTTTTNAAAAAAAAAAAAAAAAAAAAAAAAATGCATTTACCGTTACGCTTTTACGCTTTTGTAATTACGCTCGAATCAATCGCGACGATTATACTCGCATTTGGTTGACGACGAATCAGATGTGCACACATAAGAAGATCAACGGCACGATTTCGACGTTTCCGCTTCGTTTGTAATAAAACAGAAACACAGTCGAACGTGTTTGTCCAACAGCTCCCTTTTGACAGCGATTTTATGATTTTTTTTTTTTCTCACTCACTGTTGCACCGAAATGACTCTTCTGCGATTGAGGTTGGTCTAATCAAGTTTTTTTTTTCTTTCTTTTACTACACACGCGTGTCGATTTTTTTTTTTTTTTTTTTTTTGTTCTTTCTTTTTATCGCGTTGACTCTCGCGACAACACCAAAAGATTTCTCATATTAGGTCCGTAGACACTTGTCTTCCTGTCGTAAATAAACAGTTGTTTTTTTTTTTTTTGTAAAAGATCAAGGACAGGCGATTCAAACGCTGACATTTGCACACAGTATACATAGACGATCGCTACAGCTTCAAAGCAGATGATTCATCGCTTTATTTGCTTCGAAGACCTCTTGAGGAAGATTTAACCAGGAAATCACATTGCGGAGAATAATAATGCGTATCATCCCGTGGTTCGAAGCGAAGCAGACGGTATTGTTGGTCATTTCTCTTACAGAAACTTCATTTTGATTGTGGATTGTGTGTGTCACATGCTTTTATATCCTTTCATATATTTTTTTTTACATGAAAAAAAAAAAAGTCATCGTTCTAAATGAGAATACTTAGTCTATTGCTGAAAAGGTAACTATTTAAACTACGATTATACCAGATATATAATATTTTTTCATCATAGCAAAATATAAACATTTTTTAAGAGCATTCCAATATATATTTATGCAAGTAAAATTCAAATATTTTTGTCTCAGATTTCAAATGTTTCTAAAGCATCTTTCTCTTATGTGACGTAAGCCAGAATTAACTCTTCTTTCGTCTATTTCTGATGTTTTAGGACATAATGGAAGAGTGCAATGGTAATTGCGGGTTTATATGCGACGATTCCGATGAGGAAGATGATTCTAGTCCCACGAATTCGCCAGTGATACCGCGGAGGATCGTTCCGAGTCCGCCGTTACCACCGAGAAGACCCTCGCCGTCTCCAACGCCGAACAATCATCTCAGAAACGGACGTCACTTGACGGTGCCGAAGGAAAACGCTCCGCCGCCACCAGCGGTCATATTTAATTATGCCGACAACAATCTACAAAGTAGTAAAGGTATAGCTTCTGAAAATGTTTATCTTGTAATTATACGAAGATAAGAAGATAAAACTTTTACAGTAATTACAATTAATATAGAAGCGAGATACGACATGCTACATCGCGCGACGTCGCCAGTTCCACCGATACCGCCCGCGCCGTCGACGGCAATAGTGAGGTCTTCTCACGTACGTCGGCCTCACGGGAATCACGCGAGCACTCCGCAGCGACAACCGCAGCCACCGCCGACGTTGCCGGAAAAGACGTATCGTGCCATAGCGACGAGCTCGATGACGAGTCAGACGACCGGCGAGACGAGCAACAATGTGCCACCTGTGCCGCCACCTTTGTCAGCGCCGCGACCGCCGAAGACTTTGAAAGACGCTCGTCAAGATCATCATTACGAAAACACGATTGTGATCTGCGGCACAGGTCAGCACGTTGTTAAGAATATCAACTTGGAGGCGAACAGAGCTCGCTTTACAGCACTGATGAAGGCGAGGGACGATCCCGGAGGTGGTGGCGCAATCACCAAATCGTCAGAGTCGGCGGCGTACGAAAACATTAACGTCGAGCATATAACAAAACTGACGGCGCTCGGTTTCACCCAGGACAACGTGATCAAGGCGCTCGGTATCACCAGAAACGATCTCGAGATGGCATGCGACATATTGCACGAATTCGCCCCGAAATCCTCCTGACCAGGTACACAGATAAAGTGTTTAAAAATATGTCAATGATAAATATATTTGTGTGTTTTTTTTTTTTTTTTATAATATATGTGTAATATAATTTAATCGCAGAGCCGAACACCGAGGTCTCATGACCGGGCTTACCTGCTAGACGGTACTTCTGACAGGGAACGCGCAAGTCCCACCTCTGATACATCGCGCGTTCTCAACGAGTGAGTCGTTCCGTGTCGTCACGCGTACCGGGAGACTTGGCGATGCTTTGTCATATGTTTTAAAACACTAACCAACGACAAATCATCACACAAAGTGGAGGAAACAAACGGATTGCGGACGGTGAGAAAGCGCTGAAAGAATCATCACACAGAAGAATAATTGGAAGAATTGCGCGAATTGCTCCGGAGAACGTTCAAGTCAGAGATCATTTTTATCGTACACGAACTTTTCTCTTCGCTACGTAAAAAAAAAATATATATATATATATATTAATATAATATATAATTTCTGAGTGAATTTTTGACGAAGCTCGTCCTCTCGTTCCTTGAAAAAAAAAAAAAAGAAAGAAAGATAGAGAGCGTGCGTTAAGACTGTAATTGACATAAGAGTGACAGATATATATATATATACATGTAAAGTGATTGATCAAAGGCAATTTGCCGAAATATTTCTTCATGAGCCAAATCTAGTGAAGAGTAGTGTGTCTTATACTTTCCTTTTTAGTACCTCTCCACTGGCATAGGTGACTATTTTGTTCCTCAATATATACTTAAGATGACGATTGTACGTTTAAATCCGATACACTTGATAAAACGGCGTCTCTTAAAAATTGTACAGATGATGAAAAAAAATTGTGCATTGGCCCTAACCGATTCGTCCGCAGCGGAGCTTCGAGACTTCCACGTGATCTTCTGCAAACGCATCAGTTGGGACCAATTTTGCAAGGAAAACTCGCATGTACGTGCATCAGGAAGAGAAAATCCTCGGTCGCTCGTTTTCTTTTTTTTTTTTTTTCTTCTAGATTTTGTATCGTATAAACAGCGCGTATCTCACGCAACAAACGCGCGAATCTATAGTGTCGCGTTGTTCTACAATCGCGTTTTAGAAATTTACACACGTCGTACGAAGGCAAAAAAAAAAAAAAACAGTTTTTTCCCGAACGTAAGTTACTAATAACTTCCGTTTAACATATGTATTTCTATCGGAGAGGTCATCGACTCGCTCCTCTCTCGTGTGAGTACGTAAACGCGCGATAGTATCGAGACATCACGGAAAGTACGTTAGATGAGAAATTTCCGGCATCTAATTTTGTAATTCTCTAAATCTATATATATATACACCTATTTTTCTCTCCTATCAAATTAGAATAGTTACATGTACGATAATATATGGTATCGCTATTTAATGTATATTACAAAATAATGTTCTCTCTTCACAGTTAAAAAATAAACAAAAAGTATTGCGTGATTACGTACACGCGAGATGTTTCCGCAAAACAAAGAAAAAAAGATATATATAAAAAAAAACAAAAAATAAAACTAAAATAACGGAGAATCAGATGATGCGAGAGAAACATTGCACTCGTGATTTCTGGGACTCTAGTTGAGATAACTATGTCGCGGCACGATAGCCTTTAGAGCACGCATGCAAAACGTTCGATTTGGGACCTTCTTAGATCTGAATCTACACGCTATTTTTTTTTTTTTTTTTTTTCGTTCCGTTTTTCTTTGCGCACGTGTATATGTACGTACATGTGGCGAGCGGGCATTTACAAATTAGCGTTTATCTGTCATCGAATGTGATACTTGTGTTTTCCGCGCGCGAAAAAAAAACGTAGCTTCTCATCGCACACTCAAGAGTAGAAGAGAGTAGAAAAATGCGCATATAACAAAAACCAAAACAAAAAAAAAACAAAACAAAAACAAAACGACATGCCGAATATCAAAAGTTCACGACGATTTTATCAAACGCACGCGTGTGTCAGTTTCAGAGAATAATAGAAGAAGCGTTCGTGTACGCGATTCGAACGGAAAGAGATTTTTACACAGCGACGAAATGTTCGATGAGTGTGCACCGCCTCGTATATAAGCAAGTATTGCAATTGAAGAACCCGAAAAAAAAAAAAAAAAAAAAAAAAAACGAACCGTGTGTGTCGCACACACTCTGTAATGTTAATTCGATAATAAAGAAATTGTATCTGATAAAAGATAAGAGAAAAAAAAAAGAGTATGTTGTACGATTCCTGCTGAATCCTCAAAAATAATAATAACGTCGACANAGAAGAAGCGTTCGTGTACGCGATTCGAACGGAAAGAGATTTTTACACAGCGACGAAATGTTCGATGAGTGTGCACCGCCTCGTATATAAGCAAGAATAGCACTTGAAGATCGAAAAAAAAAAAAAAAAAAAAAAAAAAAACGAACCGTGTGTGTCGCGCACACACGGTAGTGTTCATTCGATGATAAAGAAATTGTATCTGATAAAAGATAAGAGAAAAAAAAAAGAGTATGTTGTACGATTCCTGCTGAATCCTCAAAAATAATAATAACGTCGACATACACTCTAATAAGCGTATCGCTTTAATTCGTACCTTGATAGTAGATGCTCAAACATAACACAATAAAAAAAAATGTTACAGTTTTATCTCGTAAGGCACAGGGCAAATTCGAACGAAAAGGAATACGGACAGACAATATGAGCGACAGAGCGGTCGAATCGGTTTCGTTCGCGCGTGCCGATTTGCGAGAGAGATAGGATCGAATTTTGGAATGAGACGATGATGCAACGCGCAACATTGTTTGCGACGATTGCACCGACACGAACAGTTACTTACTACCTCGCGATTATACCAAAGGTATACGATGTTAAATGTCCGACGTACGAACAAAAAAAAAAAAAACAAAAAAATGTTATTCGGTGTCATTCGTTTTAGGTGTGTTTTAATTAATCTTTTCAACGCGTCTTGCACACGCACACAAGGCGAATCACACAACTTACACACACACACTGTATAAATCAAATATTTAAATACGATTCTCTCTTGATTATTTTCTTTGTGTTATCAAAAAGTATCTCGCGTTGTTGCGAGAAGCGAATCCAGTCCGCAAATTTGAATGAACGAAAAATCCCTCGTCATTTAGCTCAAAAAAATTTAAAATCCTTGTAATCTACGTCTACGATTTCGAACCAACCACACCGTAGTTTGTTGTGCGACGTTGCGCGTCGTATTTGTGCACTTAAACGCGGAATTTTCAGCTTTTATCTTCGAATCTACCGATCTACATCCGTACGAATGCGTTCGCAGTGAATCTAGCTGTCCTATTTTTCTACATTGTATATTCTGGTCATTATGCATACTATATATATATATATATATACATAAAATATAATATATGTAGAGCGCGCACAATGAAAAGCGTTCGAAGCATCCTGGGTATTCCGGGGGGGAAGAGAGAGAGAGAGAGAGAGAGACAGGTTCGATAGTTTTGCGATAGTAGTTTCGCGTTTTCCCCATGCGCCAGTGTTTAAAAATGAATGACCGTTCGGCGCAATAATGCGGAGTAATGTAAATCGAAGATAATCTGTAAAGAGAGCGTAGATTCTTCATTTTATTCACTGTACAAATTGTTTTACATACTTCTCAAAATAAAATAAAATAATATGTCGTTTATAATACATCGTGAGCTATATTTCAAGTTGTACCAAAAACACTTATACCTGAACGTATATCCGCGCAAGCTTTGAACAGTGATGACTGAAAAGACACTCTCGATTGAGACACCTTTACAGCTTCTTCCTGTTAAAAGCATACCTTCCTATCTCTTCGTCACTGACCGAAGGTACCAGGTCGCGAATAGCGTCCGCAAAATGCTGCAACCCCACAACAACGCTGTCCTTAACCGAACTATCTTCTTCGAATGAAATATTGTCCCTTGTGGCTTCTTGGCGTTTGGTTAACGCTTCGCGCACAGCGTTGAGCCACGCGTTTGAAGAGACCGAATACAAGTCCGCGCCGGTTACGTTGTCGGGCAATTGATCCACAACCTGTTCCAGCACCTGATTGTCTTGTAACGTGAATTTGCGCGTTTGCGCTTTGAGAACGTTGAGCTTAGACGCGCGGTCGGAGTGGATGCCGACGTATAGCATCTTGTCGAATCTGCCGGGACGCAGCAGCGCGGGATCTATCAGATCGATTCTGTTCGTCGCTCCTATGATGAACACGTTGCCGGAATCCTCGAGGCCGTCCATCTCGGTGAGCAATTGAGAGACCACGCGATCCATTACGCCGCCGCTGTCACCGCTCTTGCCTCGATTGGGCGCCAGTGAGTCCAGTTCGTCGAAGAAGATGATACAGGGAGCCGCGGCGCGCGCACGCTCGAAAACTGCGAACAAACAATAAATTTCCTGTTGATTTGTATCATTTGATGAGCGAATAAAAAATCGTTTGGTTTCTACAGGTTTCTTTGTATTTTTTTCCCCCCGCAGAGAGAGAATTTACAAAAAAACGTACTTTGTCTCACGTTCTTCTCGCTCTGACCGACGTACATATTTAGAACTTCCGGACCTTTAATCGACAAAAAGTGCAATTGATACTCCGTCGCAACTGCTTTAGCAAGAAGAGTCTTTCCCGTGCCAGGCGGACCGTACAACAGCAATCCAGATTTTCCAAATCCGAAGGCGTTCAGCAACGGCAGTTGGATTCTACGAGTTATCTCGTGTTTAAGTTCCGTCAAACCGCCCACGTCTTCCCAACGAACCTCCGGCACGCGTGGAGCTCCCTCGCTGTCGGATTGTATCGACTGCATGTAATCTACAAATATAATTTTGTTTTATTTCGTCGCGCGCAACAAAAAATGAGCGAATGAGCTCTGAACTGAACGAACGACAAAACGCCCATATGCTGTTACCGTATGCTCGATCGAAATCTTCTTGCGTCAAGACAAACTTGCAAGAATCGTCAGAATCGTGCCACGTCATGGTTTTGCATCGGGATTTAATCGCGTGCAACGACAACGCCAACAGATCCGCGAATCTGAAATCCGAACAGAGACCGGCCACTTTCGACAGATCCGCGGTTGTCGTTAGATTTCTGTCGGACAAGAACCAAGACATCAGTTCCGCCCGTTCGTTCTGATTCAAGTGTTTCACGTGAACAGTTTCGATGAATATCCGATGCAATTCCGCCGGCAAGTCGGACTCGTCTGACGCGGCTACAACGATCAGAGGAAATTTCCGACGTTTTTCGTAAAGCGCGGCGATCTCCGTTGTGAATGCGGAAATAACTCTCTCGTCTTTCTGACCCTCAGCGGTCTTACCGAACACCTGCGAGATATATTTCTCTTGTCAAATCGATTTGTGTACTAACTAAATAATAAATTGATTCAACGCGCGCAACGTATCCATTTATGGGATCACGCACTTGAATGTTATTTAAATACAATATACAGGGCACGTATCGCTGTGCGTTCTGCAATACTGTTCTGAGCTTCGCTTCGGTCTGCGCTGACGTTAGAGTCTGAACTTTTGCGAGGTCGACGTCGTACATATTCAGTCCCAATCTTTCCGACGCGACTCGAACCAATTCGTCCTTGCCGCAACCACGCGATCCCTTCACAAGAAAGATCGGCCTCACCTGCAACTGGATGTCTGCAACACAGATATGTAATAAACAAAAAAAAAAAAAAAGAAATTAAAAAGTACATTCAAATGACGTCACAATATTTTATTGTTATCGAGAGATTTGCGCGAGAGTTTTATCGTTCACCTTCGTTTAGAAAAGGCACGACGCAAGATTCTAAGCGCTCCAGAGATTCCGTCAGAGCTGACGGATATCCGGCGTCGGTCTTCAACGTTCTTTGGGTTTCTTCTCGCGAAAAAACGTCGTCGTTCGAACAAACGTGTCTTCGGGGGATGTAGCTGTGAACCCGCGCTTCTTGAATAAGCGTCGATTCCCCGCGCACGATGTAACAACTGTTTACGCTGTCGAGCTGCCCGTCGCGATAAAGTTTCAACGATTTGACGAGAAAATGTAACACAGGAATCGCGAAAGAAGCGGACGAATAAAATCGATCCCGAGCGTATTCCTTCGCGTCGATCTTAATTATATCATTCACATGCAAATATCGAGGATACGAGAAGTAATTTTCTAACGCGGCGTCCACCACCTCGGTCGCGCAATCGCACGGACTGGCGATTGAGGATATTCTCGCCTCAATCGCAAACTCGACCGCGTCGTCGTCCGTCGATGGCACTAAAAGAATTTTTAAAGAACTGAATTATTGATTACTCGATGGTTTATTATTCCTCTTACAAAATTCGAAGATATAACGCGAAAAAAAATATAATTAATAAAAAAACAATAATTCAATGCAAAAATTTAAATTAAAAATTCGACAAGCGTTCTGTTGTTTATTACTTACGTAAAAAGCACGATTCGTCCAATTGCTCGCAACGAAGAGCAGTTTGCAAATTGCGTCGCATTGTTTCGGAAATTAGAACGGTGTCTTCTTTGACGTCGGGTGAGGATGCAATTGTTAATTTGTATTTCCTCGTCGAAAACGTCGAACATATGTGAAACCAACCGCTCGACGATTGTTCCACAAATTGCACATTTGCCAGCGCGCAAGAATCGCAATCGACGTATCGAATCTGCGTCTCTTTCACGTCGTTCATTAAACGCTTCAGAGTTACGTCCGGCAGTACGATCCAGCGCAGATTTTGTTTAGACAATTTTTGCAACTTGCGACAAAGATAATCCATGAAAACGTAGCTCATCACAAAATGTCGATTTTGTCGCATCAAAGTGCCGCTTATTCCTCTTAGAATTTCTTTATAAATTAACAACGTGGAAAGTAGTTTCTGACGTGTCTCGCGCATAGTGCAAAGATCAATGCAATTGTTTATGCAAAAGTTCTCACGCAAAAGCTGGATTTCACACTTTGGACCACTTGGAATTGCTCTCCGTAAAAGTGAATCTCAGAGATCTGAAAAAAAACCCAATTGCTGAAAGTTAAATTATTCATATTTCTGCACGTATTGTACGCAATCGTGTGACACAATTTAACCCGGTAAAAAATTTTTCATATATACTTATACCCAAAATTAAAATAATTATATCTAATTATGCAAATTTATACGCCGAATATGTCCATACAATTTTATACACGGAGAATTTCTTTTTTTAAGAGAATGGCTTCAGAGATATTCCATATCAAATTACAAAATAACTCTATTAGTATCATGTTAGATACAAAAAAATCATATAAAACTATATTTTTACTATATTTTTAAAAATTTTTTGATATATAATCATATATACTTGTAGTATATATAATCATAGTATATATATAAGTAGTATATATAATCATATATACTGTATATATAATGTAGTATATATAATCATATATACTGTATATATAATGTAGTATATATAATCATATATACTACATACTACACAAATTAAACTTATTATATCTAATTATGCAAATTTATATACCGAATATGTCCATACATATTTTTACATGAAAAATTTTTTACCGGGAAATTTGTTTCAATATTGAATAAATAAAGACCAATGAGAATTGTAATTTCGCGAATTAATTGCCACTTACAGTTAATGATTTTCTCGAAAATTGCTCTACTGAACTTTTTTTCAGATTTTACTTTTTTCATTTTTTTTTTTTTGTCGATTTTCTCCAATTATGCTCAATATTATTTAAAGAGTTTGTTATTCTTTTTTTTTTTTTGTTTTTTTACATTCAAAAGATGACAACTGTGTTACAAAAGTGCGTTGTTTCGATACACACACACACACACGCATTTGCTCTGCGATCCCTCTCGAGAGAAGAATTGCTGTACGTATACTTTATTATATATATGGCACATACATAAAATATACATATATATATATATACGTAACGATCGAAACGAAGTTTTAGAGGTTACGTTTGATCGCGAGGCGGTTGTGGTTGATTGAAGTTGCGGTTGGAAAGAAAGAGAAAGCTCGGAGATCGGAGAAAAATCGAAATTCGCGTTAAAAAGGTAAAACATCAAATCGAATCCTTCAACCCTGCGTACGACACAATCTTTATTGTAGTGTTTTATTGTGTACGAATATATATATGTATATATATTATACATATGCACACATACGTAACATTAAAGTGAGTTTTATCGCCTCGCTTGTGGCATGAAAATGCGAACGCGGTGAGTGAAATCGCATTGGTTTTTATTCCCATCGATTGAGAGTCACTGACGTACCCAATTTCGTTGGTCTCTATAATCTACCCGTGTTACTATAGGAACAGTAGCGCTCGCGGAAGGGATATATATATTATCCCCGCGTCTCCGAATTCGTCTTTAGAAGGAACGTGCGAGGATACGAACAGCTGTGCTATCGGTAAAAATCTCAACCAGTGAAATCTCCTGCGCGTGAAAATCGCCTGCGGCCAGCCAGCGGTGCTGCGTTAAACGGCGCGTCGTTGATGTCCGCGTTCAACTGCAGCTGACTTCGCGCTGCTGCTGCTGCTGCTCGCACGACCAACGACGGCGACGACGACGACGACGACGACGCCGAAAAAAACTCGATTCACACAGATCGAGATTTTGTTGCTGCTAGCCGGCGTGAGACGACGCGACGCGACGTCCTTAAAGTTGTTCGTTACATGAATGGGAAGAGACGGTTAAAGTTTTTAAATCGTTGAGTGAACCTCCCCGAAAGCCGTTGGAGCGCGGATCTAACCTAATCTCTCTCTCGGTCTGTCTCTCTCTCTTTCTCTCTCTCTCTCTCTCCCTCTGTTCGCGGTGTATCAGCGTCTCGTCCGTATCACACAATTCAAGGATCTCAAGTAGACACGCTCTCCGCAAATTTAAAGGTCCAACTTCTCTCCAAACTCTGCGAGGACCTGTGTGTTATTATGCGAAGAAGCTGGGGTAAGCTAGAAGGTGTGCATATCATCCTGATGGGAATTTGAATATATTCCAGAGACGCCGCGAGCAAGACTCGTCTCCACGTTTTCCGTTGTTGTATATTGTTTTTTTTTTTTCGCGACGTCAACGTCCACATCGCTCATCGATGTCGACGAATATCGAGCCGCCGCATCAATTTGCGAATTCGAAATCGGTGTCGCCAGTACGATACCTGGATTATTTCGTCAGAGAATAAAAGATTCGTCGCGTTTTTCTGTCACACTTCTTCTGTCGCACGTATTTTTCTCGCGTGTGTGCGTGCGTGCGCGCGTATGCGTGTGTGTGCGTGTGTGTTCTATTGACAGTTTTTGAAACTAAAGAATGTTTACATTTTTATACGTCTATAATCGTATACTCGACTGGGATGCTGATTTTTTAGTACTGCTCGCGTTAATTGTCGAACTTTTTGTTGTTTTGTTAGTGTATGTTGAGAAGGAAGTCTCCGAGAGATAAACAACAAAGATTCGAAAAAAAAAAAAAAAAAAAAAAAAAAAAAAAAAAAAGAAAAAAATTGTTCAAGCTACTGTAATAACCAGATTCAAAGAGAATATTCAGCCGTTGAGATACGGACGTAATGCCGCACAATTGGGAACCGCGTTGAGGGCCCAGGAGGACGTGGATGCGCAGCAGTTAC